AAGTTGGCCAATTTTTTTTTGGTTTTTTTTTTGTTGCAAACCTCAATGAAGACAAAACTATGGTACAGACAGGGATTTGAATTGCACGAAAACTTTCATAAAGACTACCGACCCTATTTGATTTGTTTTGATTTGAATCAAGAACCGACATCACAGCACTCGAGGCATTCCCATAAACGCTCCGTCCCCATCTTCAGCAGCCAACAAAGAGTTCCGATACTAATGGCCAGTAGCATTCTGATTAAACGTCCTTCTTGCCTTTCCTCTGAGCCTAGAGCATCTGCCAGAACCGCTCGTCACCCCCAACTGCATCACTCTCACCAGACTGTGGTGATCCATCTGCTCCTCCGAACTGTACAAGCTCTCCCACAAGGCACTAACCACGTCTACCTTATTGTGTGTCAGTATTCCACAAAGTTGTGCAGAGCCAGCCAGTCTTTCCGCTTGTTCATTTCCAAACACACCGGCGTACCCCGTTGAAAAAATCAAGATAGTATTCCTCACCCGTGTCCTTGGCAACGAAGCATGCCTATCCTGATCTTCCTCAGCATGCTTTCTGAGTCAGTTACAATCACGATATGTGTGTGTGTGTGTGTGTGTTTGGTGTTCTCTAGCAGGGAAAAGCTTTAGTGACCCCCTCCACCTCCATTCTTAAGCTGGATGTTGTGGTATCATATGCTAGGCTCTCCTGCACCAAACGTCGACCATTAACTTTTGCTAAGAAACCCCAAGCACTTCTTTTGCCTCTTAACAATGAACCGTCTGTGTAAATAATCAAATCTTCTGAGCGAGCATTATCTTGAATTAACTGCTGAATTTCCATCTCAGTGGCACCTGCTGGCAAGTCTCTGCATTCATTGCTCAGTGTGATTATGAACCTACACAAGTCTGACTGTTCAAATGGCACTTTGACTCACTCCTTTCCTCCCCTAATGTTTTCAAGGATGCAAGTCTGTCTGACTGTGTCTTCTGCCTAAGCCTTCCATGACTTCGCTCTTATCAGCCACTGACTCTTAACTGCACCCAGAGCTTCATGCAAAGGGTGGTCGGTCTGTGTCTGCAGCTACCCTGAGATATGACTTCGCCTGCAGCACTTTGTGCCTACCTGAAACAGTCAGCAAACCAAAGATGTGTCGCATACACACCCCTAGGGTGTCTCTGGTGCAACCCAGAATGACCCGCATAGCTGCGTTCTGTATGCGGTCTAGTTTGTCCATCTGACTCTTTGAGACGGTAAGCAGTCCCAGGCCATAATCAACCACTGACAGGATCAGGTGCTGATATAGTGTGAAAAGCATTTTTTGCTCTTTGTCAATTGCAGCCATAGTCTGGAGTGCACCAAGTCCTTTTTGGCATCTTGTCACAAAACTCTCCACATGGTCCTTAAAGGACCCTGTGATATAAGTTATCTGACAGAATGATTGATGAAGAAGAAGAAGAAGAAGAAGAAGAAGAAGAAGAAGAAGAAGAAGAAGAAGAAGAAGAAGAAGAAGAAGAAGAAAAAGAAGAAGAAGAAGAAGAAGAAGAAGAAGAAGAAGAAGAAGAAGAAAAAGAAGAAGAAGAAGAAGAAGAAGAAGAAGAAGAAGAAGAAGAAGAAGAAGAAGAACTCACATTTAGACGAAAATAATTTTAACAATAATAATGTTCATTGGTTCTGATCGATCTGGCCTGAAACGAGTCACTGGAAATGCAATGAGAAGCAAGTTAACAACACGACCCACCATGTGCAGGCTTTTACTACCTTCTTTTTTCGTTTTCATTGGCTGTAAACTGCGATGGAACGTTCAGTTAGAACGTCCTCTTCTGGCCTTAGTCTTGTTCCAGCACTTGCGTTTTACCTCATCATCATCATCATCATCATCATCATCATCATCATCATCATCATCATGTGTCCTGCCAACTGGCATAGGCGCTCATGCGTTTCCACAGATCACGATTCCTGGTTGACTGGAACAGCTCTCTTAATGATATCCCCCCATGCCATCGTTTTAGCCCATCCAGCATCATCTCTTGGTCTGCCTCTACCCCTTTTTCCACCGATCTTTCCAGGTGTCACGATGTTCTCCAATGTCTCTCTTCTTATTATGTGGCAAAAGAACAGTGTTTGTCTCTTTCTTATTGCTGTGTTTAGAGATCTACTTTCATTAGCCTCTTTCAAGTAATCGTTGTTAGTTACTCTGGCCGTCCACGGTATTTTGGGAGTTTTATCTACACATCCATTCTACAGATCTGGCTCACGTGTAGGCAGTCTGATAGTTCCTCGCCTCTCATGCAGATGCACTCCCACTTTGAGTAAAGCACCCATAATTAGTTGCTTTCTACGACATACTTGTGGGTATATTCTTTGTTTCCCCCTAGATTTGTTCACAGGAACCTACACGGGGAGCTTTTGTTAGTATTTTGCTAAAAGAATCAACACAATTCTGTACATGGTAATTGCCGCTGATAAGCTTGGCCTAAACAAATCATTGCCTACACGGAAATGAGGTCACTGGCTCATACGATGGGTTGGGGATTTGATTGCTGAATACGATTGTGGTCTATAAATTATATTCGAGGAAACCAACTTGTTAGCAAAAGATGGTTAAAATAGTTTACAAATGAACGATTTAATTAGAAAATATCAAGGAAAAAAAAAAAAAAGGAAGTTGACACACAAATTAACAGAGCTGAGTTGAGTTGATTCAAGAACACCACAGCTTTTGGGGCATTTCATAAGCGCTCCATCCCATTCTTCAGCAGTCAGCGCAAATTTCTAATACCAATGGTGCCAATAACATTCTGGTTATACTCCCGTCTTGCCTTGCCTATGGGCGTCGAGTATCCGCCAGATCCCCTCATCACTCTCCCCTGCATCAGAGAGGCCGATAAGCAGTAAAAAATATAAGAATGTCTACACGAAGGTAAGTATAAATGTAGACAGACAGACGGACGAACAGACAGACAGATTAAACAGACAGACAGACGGACAGACAGACAGGGACAGACAGACAGATTAGACAGACAGACAGACGGACGAACAGACAGACAGATTAAACAGACAGACGGACGAACAGACAGATTAAACAGACAGACAGGGACAGACAGACAGGAACAGACAGACAAACAGGAACAGACAGACAAACAGGAACAGACAGACAGACAGACAGACAGACAGACAGACAGACAGACAGACAGACAGACAGACAGACAGACAGACAGACAGACAGACAGACAGACAGACAGACAGACAGACAGACAGACAGACAGACAGACAGACAGACAGACAGACAGACAGACAGACAGACAGACAGACAGACAGACAGACAGACAGACAGACAGACAGACAGACAGACAGACAGACAGACAGACAGACAGACAGACAGACAGACAGACAGACAGATAGATAGATAGATAGATAGATAGATAGATAGATAGATAGATAGATAGATAGATAGATAGATAGATAGATAGATAGATAGATAGATAGATAGATAGATAGATAGATAGATAGATAGATAGATAGATAGATAGATAGATAGATAGATAGATAGATAGATAGATAGATAGATAAACGAATGCCCGGGAATACCATCCGTCTGTCAGAACAAGCAAAGCCTCTCTGACATTCATAAAGGATGCATAAAACATGACAGGAAGTTTAACTAGACTGTTTTCTTCAATCAGAAGATCTCTAAAATTAAGCTGATTATTGTGTCAGAAAGCAGAATTTAAAATCCCCCTCGACACCCGAAGCGGTAAAAGAGGAGCTAAAGAAGAAGTGAATTGAGTCAGAAGGGGATTTTTCTTGCTTGACTTAAGCTTCCAGGTTAAGACAACCTAAAATTGTCATCAGAAAATGTTGTGGATAGTAAATGCGGCCGTTGTGAAAGTTACTACATCACCCATATGTGTTAATGGGTCTGTAAAAAGGACTGGGCTAGCATCATACACCCATTACGTCCAAGAGTGAGATTAGCTTCTTTACTGTGCAACTACAGCTACCATGAACTCTGTTACTGAAAATCAAAACAATCTTTCCCCGTTGTGAATTTGAACATCATCCTCATGTAGCAGGCCCTTTGCAGAACGTCGCTCTCATCACAGTCTGCCTGAAAGAAACTCGGTCTCTCGCCAGTTCTCCCGCCTCATGCACTTTCACACCCAAGGAGTCACTTATATCCTGTGCCCATCTTCGTGTCAGTCGGCCTTGCCCCTCCTTCCTGGTACCGCGCCTTCTGCTATAATTTTTTTCAATCCGCCATGGCGCTTGATATGACCAAAATATTTTAGCTTTCGAGAAAAGATGCTGTTTATTAGCCAATCATCCTTGATGTTCAGATCTTTTAAGATGTCAGTCTTTCTCATCTTCTTTGTCGAAGAATTTGAACATAGAAGACACAAATAGTAGATTGCACATTTTATTGCCTGACATATTTTGCTGTATCTCGTCACATGCATACTACATTAACGATGAAGGATTCATTTATTTGATTCATTTTAATCAAATTATCTCCCTGTAAGTTTTATCCAGAGGAAAAATCGCTTCATCTCGACAAACCCTTTAGATGAGGAGAAGGAAGAAGTGGGGAAGGAGGAGGTGGAGGAGGAGAGGAAGAAGAAGATGAGGGGAAGGAATACAAAGTAGAAGAACACACTCATATCTTAAATAAAAGCATAGTTAACAAGCTCAAAGATGAACCTTGAAGTACTTTACTCAAGAAATTATCATTTTTAATCACTTAATTACAATCAGCTCAAAGGCCATTAAGCCATCTTTTCCCCCTCCCCACATCTTCTTCCATCATTTAATTGTAGTTTTGTTTCGGGAAAAGATAATGAATAGTTTACAGAATGCTCTGACGTAGTTCCGGCCTGACGAACTAAAGTTCAACAAGAAGTTGATGTCACATCAGACCACTCGCTATTTAAAGCTGATCGCTGCTAGCATTCTTTGGTCTTATTTGGAGCAGCATTAAGCGGAGTGCTTACATGAACTTCCAAGAGAGATATATGTGATAATGAAACGTTTAAACATGCAATTTATTGCAGTAATTCTGGTTCTTGGACTTGGATTCTTTAATTACGTAAGTATTTTTATATTATTATTATTATAAAATATATAATATAAAATAATTTACGTTTGTTTACAGTTACTTCGGGTTATTGTTTGTTAGTAATACTAATACTATTATTACTTATACTGTACTAGAGTTAGTCTAGTCACTTAACAAACCACATCTTGATCTCCCTAGAATTTTGCGATGCTAAGTAGAAGATATGAACAAACTGACTTCCTTGGGAATATATATAATATTAAAACAACCGTCTTCTGCTTTCATGATTCAGTCACCGTATCGAGAGTTTATGGCAATAAATGTGTATTAATATTAACTCTTAGGGTCCCAGTAGCATCAGTCATCAGAGGCCCAAGGGGTGGTAATAATGCAATTATGAAATGTCACAAGTGTAACCCATTAAAACAGACCTTTATAGTTAAACTACCGTGCAACATACAGCATACACATATACTGTAAAAAAAAAAATCTTACTGGATCTTCTACCCCATATTATGGCGGCCAAACAAATACCCTAATAGGGCCAGGGCCTCAGTTGTGTGTAAAATGCAGACTTCCTCCGACGAACACATTGCGGCAAAACTAGGATTACTTGACATTGTCACGACATGCAACACTGAAGACGATTATAGCGACCGTTGACAATTTCAAGCATTTCTGCAGATGATAATAGCAGATGATACTAGCGACCATTGACAATTTGAGACACACAATATTACAGACGATAAAAGCGACATGGCAGGGAGATCAAAAGCGCTCTGACGCAGATTAGTCTGATTAGCGATAGTGTTTTTCCGATTAAACTCACCGCCAAGCATATCCCCCGCGGATAGGGATCTAAGCTAGATGCCTGGGAGTCACCAGCAAATAAATTGGAGGAAGTTGCAAGAGATGCAGTAGCTGCTGCTCGTGAGCCATCTAGCTAAGGCTGTCTAGATGCACACATTTTGTCTAGATGAACACATTCTGTCTAGGTAGTACACAATGTGACAATCCATCTAGATGTACACATTCTGTCTAAATGCAAACATTCTCTCTGTACTGTATTTATGCCATCTTGTTATGAGTTCAAAACTGAGAGGAGACTTTGTCCTGGTGAGCTCAGTCAAACTGCTGATTGTGAGAAGCTGACCTGGTTAGCTGACCCAGTTTCTCAGTTGTGAATCTACTAGAGGAAGTTGTTAAGGATGACACCCACTTGTGTCAGCTGACTGGTTGAGTGCCAGGCTGTTGTTCAATTACACTTGCTAGTTTTTCTCTATGACTAAGCCAGTGTTAGTTGTGCTTTTACTTTAATGTCTGTGTTTTTGTATGTCAGTATTTTAGGTTGGTTATGTTGTATTTATACTGTTTTTGCTGTTTGTACTGTTGTTATCTATGTCTGTCTATATTTTCTAAGCTAGTTACATTTCCTGTGTCTACTGTTTTAATGTGTTTGTATTACATCTGTGCTCAGTGTCTGCCTTTCTCTGTGTATATGAGTGAGTGTATGTGAGAGAGAGAGAGAGAGAGAAACTGGCTGTATTGTATTGCCTTAGTATAGACATGTTTTATTTGTGTTTGTACTGATAAAGCATATTTCCCTTTCGCTTGTCCCTTTAGCTCATCCTTTTATATTTCTGTACCTAGTAACACACAGTGTGTCTGTGTGTATCAAGCATTGCATGGGGATAGTGTTTCTCTGTCCTCTAACATGCCAGACAGCATAGTTGTTTGCACTAAAGATAGCATAGTTATTTAAATAGTGCAAATATTGGTAGATCTAACAATAAAATCTACTCATCACTTACAAAAATGTTAAAGGAATGGTACCAAGGATGAGATGGGCAAAAATAATATCAGAGAAGCTGTGCATCAACATGATGTGTATGTGGTCAATATGACCAGAAGAGCTTGAAGCAGAACATTTATCTCCCTTGATATCCAAAGGGTACTGTCATTTGAGCTCACCCCAAGTACGAAGAAGCCCTGAAAAGTCCAGTATTGGGGAGAGGGGAGAGTTTTCATTAGGATTAGTCAATATTCATTTCAAACTCTAACACCTCTGTGGTGTTTTGGGTCAGCTAAGATGAAAGTACCACCCAAAGTAGTAAAAGAAGAAGAGGAGGAATGATTAGAAGTGAAGATCATTATGTCTTTGTAGCTAAACGGTTACGCCGTTTGCCTCATGCTGTAAAGGTCATGGGTTCATTTCACAGACTGCATTATTTGGTTCACAAGTAAAGTTTTCACAAAGATCCGTAGGGATCGTCACAGGAACTGCAGAGTTCATGTTTTACATAGCTAGCTGTTCTGCAGAGTTAATGCCTTTCATAGCTAGCTGTTCTACAGTTAATGCCTCTCATAGATAGCTGGTCTACAGTTAATGCCTCTCATAGCTAGCTGTTCTACAGTTAATGCCTCTCATAGATAGCTGGTCTACAGTTAATGCCTCTCATAGATAGCTGGTCTACAGAGTTAATGCCTCTCATAGTTAGCTGGTCTACAGAGTTGATGCCTCTCATAGATAGCTGGTCTACAGAGTTAATGCCTCTCATAGTTAGCTGTTCTACAGAGTTAATGCCTCTCATAGTTAGCTGTTCTACAGAGTTAATGCCTCTCATAGTTAGCTGTTCTACAGAGTTAATGCCTCTTATAGTTAGCTGTTCTGCAGAGTTAATGCCTCTCATAGTTAGCTGTTCTACAGAGTTAATGCCTCTTATAGTTAGCTGTTCTACAGAGTTAATGCCTCTCATAGTTAGCTGTTCTACAGAGTTAATGCCTCTCATAGTTAGCTGTTCTACAGAGTTAATGCCTCTCATAGTTAGCTGTTCTACAGAGTTAATGCCTCTCATAGATAGCTGTTCTACAGAGTTAATGCCTTTCATATATAGCTGTTCTACAGAGTTGATGCCTTTCATAGATAGCTGTTCTGTAGAGTTGCTGCCTTTCATAGCTAGCTGTCTACAGAGTCTAGCTGTTCTGCATAGAGAAACTGAATCATATAGATTAAAACCCAGTGCTTAACATGCTGAAGAAGCAAAGCAAAAAAAAAAAAAAAAAATTCTGAACACCCTGGACAGATAAAAAGAGTAATGAAGATATCTTGAAAGAAATTGACTCAAAAAGATAACTGTTTTTCCTCATGAGGAGTCAATCTACATTCTTGTCATGAGGAGGAAACTGGAGTACACTGAGGGAGGGCCAAAGAGGTAGAAGGAGACCAAGAGAGATGCTTAGTTTGATATCATGGCATAGAATGGCTGCCTCCACTTGGCTAGTTAAAGCACAGTCCGTGATAAGTGAGAGACTCGATATATGGAAGTGAGGTTAAACGGTCATGAGCAGGATGCGATGATACTTTAAAGTGAGCCCAGCAACTGAACATTATCTATGGTCTCTGCATTATTGGAAGCCCCTTGGATGACTGGAAGTGCTCGTGTTCTGCCTCTGCCTTCTCCTGAGGGCTGACCAGCATAACGTGCTCTGAATTGGCCCGAGGGGGGCGTAACCTGTGGACTAGTAGGTAAAGACGGCCACACAACACTGCGACTGCAGTCGCCCACAAAACTAATCGAGAAGATTAACCTGGGCAACAAATGCCTGAAATCGAATGTATTGGCCGAAATCGGCAAGTATTGCAGCCATGAACAGGCGCAGCAGTTACATCCTCGGGTAGATGCAGAAGAAACGTGGTGCAATGAAGTTTATCCTGTTGGCTTTAAATCTCTAATGAAGAGAAAAGAATATACTAGGTGTTCTCCCCCTTGAACAAAACACTAATCGAAGCTAGTAGGAGTAAGGGTGGTTCAGTGATTAGATGCTTGTCTGCTGTCTCCAGGGTCTTGAGTTCGAGCCTGAATCGAGGTATATTTATATAATGGTCTAAGGTTTAGGTCAACCCAACCTAAAATTGTATCAGGAAAAGTTGTAGGAAGTAAAGGCAGTCAGTATGATGTTGACCATGTCATCAGTTGAGTGACACAAGCAGACCGGGTCCATTGGGCTAGAGATAACGTGAGATGATAACCTGTGACCACTTGTGTTTATCGGCAAGGTACATGATGATGATGTTAATGAATAATCATCATCATCCGACACTGACCTCATTATTCACCAGAAAACATGGAACATTTTAATAGAAGAAAATGGATCAAACCACTGGCTATCACAACACAGCATGTGAATCCCTTATCCTGGCTTTATTTTACCTGCATGGCAATAATCTAGTTGTACACACAAGTGTGATCTGTAATAATGGCTATCTAGTACATGAGCTGCTTACATAGGACTTTCTGTTTGGCCCAGAATAACAGTTGTTTAGTACAGTGGCCCCCCTCTACACAAGGCTTTCTGTGAAAGGTTAGCAGCAGTAACTGGGGTAGGCCTTCAGTGTATTTTGTGAGGAAGTAAGCCGGGTCTGTCTGGATACAAATAAGCCGGGTCTGGATACAAATAAGCCAGATATGCCTAGATACAAATAAGCCAGAAAAAGATACAAATAAGCCAGAAGAGGATACAAATAAGCCAGAAAAGGATACAAATAAGCCAGATCTGGATACAAAATAGCCAGATCTGGATACAAATAAGCCTGGTCTGTCTGAATACAAATAAGCCCGGTCTGTCTAAATACAAATAAGTCCGATCTGTCTAAATACAAATAAGTCCGGTCTGGATACAGATTAGCCAGATCTCTCTCTCTACACAAATAAGCCAGATTTATATGGATACAAATAAGCTGGATCATGATACAAATAAGCCCGATCTGGATACAAGTGTGGTTATCAGTGAGATCATCTGTGAGGGGTTCAAGTGTAGTGGGGGGTGTATTTATACTGTTGTCTTGACTGTCCTGAACGGCATCAGTTGTTCTCATCTTTGTATGCCTTTTCTTGTACCTGTACTCATCATTGGAAAACAACCAATATTTTCTTGTTGTGAATGTAATTAATAAAGATACAAACAACTAATTCTTGGCAGTACATAGAAGTCATCTAAGTGATAACTCCTTGTTTCGAGAAAACCTCGGTTGAGCATTGAGCAAAAGTAAAGGACCCTTTTCCACGCCTTTCAGTCGTATTGGGTATATAGGGCTAAACCTATATTTTTTAGACCAAGGGCACAAGATGGGTGATATGGTCAGCATCACGCCAGTCACCTTTGCTTCCCAGGACTGCACTTACCTGGGAGCCAATGTCATTTTTGTGAAAATAATAATAATGACAAAATTATTGACTGCTGTCAAGTTGTATGCTACTGTCAGGTCATTCAGTTTTTCATTCCACTGTGTTAAAAAAAAAAGTTTTGTTTTGTTTGGTTTGGGGAGGATTTTGGTTTTAATCCTCTAAAAGACTTTAGTTTGTACTGGCATTTTTCCCTGTGGGGGTTTCCTGAGCCCCATTGGGAGAGGGGGGGGGGGGGGGGAAGCTATAGCAACTGTTGAACTGTTGCTTAACAAGATGTTGTAGAAGGCAACCAATTAAGGGTTAGCTGAAATCAGATGGGTTGGATGTGTTTTTTCTGCAAGCCTAGCATGCCTTAATTGTATCACAGACTCCATGAACATGCTTCAGAAGATAGCAACAGGCGCTATGCGCTCTGAATGGGCAAAAAAGCATTTGAAAATCGCACTTAACCTACCTCACCTGGATCTACACACCTGGTCATGCTGGCGTAAAGGGTAATGAGCGATCGCGGACCAGCTGGCAAGCAATGCACCAATGCAGGTAAGAAGAAGCATGGTCAGGGCAGATATCGTAAGTGCTGTATGGACTGGGCTAGTGGATAATGACAAATCTCTTACCACAACAGGATTGCATGACATGGTAGTAAAGCATGGTAAAGCACATCAATGCCACCTTTGAGGCTGAGATAGGAGACAATGTAACCAACCTCTCAAGGGAACAATTAGTAGAAGTACCCTGAAGTTGCTGCTGGGTGGGAGGACTGAGCATGCATGGAAATGCCTAGTGGCAGCGGCATGATTGTGAAAAAATAACAACATCACAACATGCCAACTACCCTTTTAAAGGCAGACGAAGAAGAACATTACCTGTGGGATACTAATGATTATGCTGAGAGGGGGATCTTAGCATCTGTGGATGTGTCCGTAGTGCTGTGAGGATAGCCCTAATTATAACCCAGAACTCATTGTGATATTGGACAGAAAACCCAAACACAAAACCACATCTCTCAGGCCAGGTGTTGAATGGCAGGATGACATCATGGCTCTGATGTGCTTGTATAACTTATTTTTCTTCACATATATGCATTTGTATAAGTCATTTATTCTTCACATATGTGTGCTTGTATAACTTCTTCCTCTTCTTCTTTCGTTCGCTTGAAATAGATTTTTGCTTGAAATAGATTATCTATATCTGCAATGTTGTCCCTAGTATGAACTTCACTGTCTTTTGTAATTCAGTCAGTGACCTGTCAAGTTTGACTTGTACTGGTGTTTCTTTTGACCAAAAGTTTTGTCTTGATATGTTGTATTTGTGATAGTCTTGGAGGATGTGATCTATTGTCTCAGGTGCTAATCCACATGTACACATGGCTGATTCGCCAAGCTAGTATATCTCATTTATTCCTCACAAATGTGCTTGAAAAGCTATTTTATTCCTCACATTTTTGCTTGTATAACTCATTTATTCTGTACATCTATGTGCTCGTGTAATTTATTCATTTATTTATTCTCAGATATGTCTGTATAAATGATTTATTCTTAAATGTGTTTGTATTTCTCATTTATTCATCTCAGATATTCATGTGTAAAACATTTATTCTTCACAGATTTGTTTGTTTAACTCGTCCGTTTATTCTCCATACAGTGTTGTGGAGATTGTGTCTGGTACGGACAATGTGGTTATTATCCAGGCTCCTCAGACCATGCTTTAAACTGTCCGTACAAAGGGAAGGCTAAACCTCTGCAAGACTCAGATGTTATTGCCAAGTACAAATCTCTATGTCCAGATTTATATGCAGGTAAGTTTGTTTGATGTTTTTGAGAAAGAACTATATATATTTTCTTATTCTTCTTCATCATTTTCTTCATTCACCTTAAAAGGCTGGTTGGCACATTGTGTTGTGGTTAACAGCTAGGCTGTTATACACCTTTCAGAGCAGCACTTCCAATTTCTGCAGGCTCCTAATGAGTTGTTTTTTTCGACATATGTTTGTTGGAGCACTGGGTCTGTTCTACCCCCCAAAAATGGGTCCTGGAAGCCACACTGGGGATCTTCTTCTGATACTTTGCTGTAAACAACAATACTACATATCAACGGTCCTTTTAATGATAAACACTGGGGAAAAAAAGAAGAAGACAGCAAAATAAGCCAGGAAATAAATTGTGCAGTATACTTTTTTGCATTTTATTATTAAAATTTACACAGACAAATCATTCTTTTGATTATTATAATTGTACTTTTGTTTCTTTGTAATAGAATTTGGTAAAAATACCTGCTGCAGTGATGCTCAGGTTAACACGATAGCCAGCCAGGTGGCACTCCCCAACATGCTGTTCCAACGATGCCCCAGCTGCTTTCACAATTTTATGAACATATGGTGCTACCTAACCTGTGGGGCTAATCAGGTGAGATTTTTTGTTTTATTCTTTTTTTGTTTTGTTTTGATATGAATGTGTGATTTCTCCCACTATCTAATTTTGATTGGGGGGGGGGGGAAGAATAGATGAGAGGGGGGGGGGGTGTAAAACTCAACTGGGGTTTACTGACTTCAGATGTCTTGCATCAAAAAAGACGAATATCACTGCCTAGCTATAAACCTTAGCACAGTTTGCAAATTGTCCTTGTAAGAGTTAGCACAGAAAAAGAAGAGAAAAAGAACAAACAACCTGTCCTTTCTGTTTTAATGAGGAATTTTTTTGTGGTTTTCAAAAATTAAACAACAACAGCAGCTTTTCCTATCTGTGTATGTGTACCTCTTTGTTTGTGTAGGTGTTTGTCCGCTTGTGTGTGTGTCTGTCTCCCTCAGTATGTCTCCCCCCTCCCCTCCCCTAACCACCATCTGTGTGTGTGTGTGTCTATCTCCCTCTGTATGTCTCCCCCAACCACCATCTGTGTGTGTGTCTCTGTCTCCCTCTGTATGTCTCCTCCCTCCCCCAACCACCGACTGTGTGTGTGTCTGTATCCCTCTGTATGTCTGCCCCTCCCCCAACCACCATCTGTGTGTGTGTCTATCTCCCTCTTTATGCTCCTCCCTCCCCTCCCCAACCACTGTATGTGTGTGTGTCTGTCTTCCTCTGTATGTCTCCCCTCCCCCAACCACCATCTCTGTGTGTGTGTCTCTCTTATTTCTCACTTCTAGAAGATACTTTCATGATACCGTAGCAAGCGCTAAATGGTCTTTGAATATTTGCTAACATTTTTTAAAGAGCCCTCTGTAGCGCATTAGGCATATGATGCTGGATTCATATTTTACATCACAAAGATGACCTTTATGTCCCTAAGACATTACATGGTATCCAGGGAAGGCTAGGTCGACTCTCTCTATGCCTTGAGATGTATTAAGCATACAGGGCTAGACCTATATTTCATAGACCTGTCGGCACTTGGTGGGTGTTGTGGTCAGCATCATGCTGGCCACTTTTACTTCCTAATACTTTACCTGGTGCCCATTTAAGATTAGGTGGATGAGTGCCAAGGTAATTTTTTTAAAAAGCCTTGCTTTATGAGGACCTGAACCCACCCCCTTCCGATCCACCAGTGAGTATCCAGATACTACACCATGGCTTCTCCCCCAGAAGTATAATGAAAACACAAATTTGTCTTGCTGTGGGTTAGAATCCATTACCTTATAGCTGACAGCTGAGTGCCTAGCCAGCGCTACCATCTTGTCTAAAATTATATGACGGGTTTAAATAATTAAACAGCCCTCTCTCCCTTTCTGTTTTGTAATTATTAACAATATATGGAAGACAAAACTCAGAATATAAAAGAGCAACATTTTAGGAAAACTGTTATACAATAGTAAATGTTGGAAAATGACAGCAGGAATTAAACATAAACTTGAGACTTTTCAGAATAAATGTTTAAGAAGAATTCTACCAATATTTTGGCCAAACAAGATCACAAATGAAGAATTGAGGAGGAAAACAGAATATGCATCACTGGCAAATGTTAAGTAAGACGGTGGCGATGGCTTAGACATGTTTGTAGAATGCCTTGAGACACTCTGGCAAAAACAGCTCTCCTGTAGACAGCAGATGGGAAAATGAGACGTGGATGACCTAAGGAAACCTGAAGAAGGACAATAGAATGGGAAATGAAGGAATGTAAACTGACATTGGATACCATGGGCAGAGTGGCAGCAATGGAGATCACTTGTGAATGCCTTATGTGTCAACAGCGACATGAAGAGGATATTGGCAGGATATTATCGACATAACCTATGAAGATTGGTATATACAAATATGGCAGTTGAGTTGTTTAGTTAAAAACTGACATCATAGCACTAAGGATATTCCCATAAGTGCTCTGTCCTTGTGGTTTGGGACACAACCATTTACAATCCTGCAGAGCACCATAAGACAGTCGTCTTTTCTGGGTTGACGACAGCATCAATCTCAACAGTCAGTCTCTTTTCATCTGCAGTTGTCTGTAGCTCTTGAGCTACCTGTTGCCTATCGCTCCCCTGCCTGTGTGCAATAACACCATCTGCAAATGGTCAGTATCCTGAAAACCCCTAAGACTTTAATTTCTGCAGTCTTGCTTGAATACAAATTGAAGAGCTCAGGTAAATTTTCAGAACTCTGTTTTAATCAATGGCCGATATTGCTTCGTTTTGAGTTCCATTTACCCATGCAGAGGGCAGCCATGCAATAGTGCAGGACCGCTGCTACCCAGTTCACAAGCTAGGGACAGACTCCTTAAAAATATACCAGTACCATAAACTCAGTCTGCAGGAAGGTGTGGAAAAAGTAATATACTTTTGCTCAAATTTAATTGTAAAGAGACTTTGCAAAACAACCCCAGCATTTGTTTGCTGTGTGGTTTACTAGGCAGTTTTACTTTAGTAATTTATCATTGCTTTCTGAATTGTACCATTGTTGAAATCAGCACAAAACAGTCTGTTGCTAGGCCTTTTAGCCGAACATTTCCGATTTCAGTGAGTCCTTAATTAGTTGCCTTTATAACATGCTATTGAGTGGCCCTGGAACTCACACAGCGTCTAAATGAGATATAATCTTTGACTCGGATAATATTTTGTGAAGCGAAGATGTTTGCTAATGAGCTAACTTGTTTTATTTTTCAGTCAGAGTTTTTGTATGTGAACAAAACGATTCCAGTTACAGTCAATGGCACGGCTGCGGTGGGCATACAGTCTGTGGATTATATCGTGTCCAACAAATCAGCCAATGAAATGTTTAACTCTTGTCGCAATGTCCAGGTTTGAATATTTGTTTCTTCGATCTAATATGAACAAATAGTGTAGTTTTGGGGCGCTTGTCTGTCGACCCAAAGGTCTTGGGTTCAAATCCACATTGAGGCAGATTGGAGGCTCGCAGGTTGACGCGGCCTTAAATGGGTACCAGGTAATGTTCTGGAAGTGGGGGGGGGGGGGGGGGGGGGGGGGGCGCGGGCTTGCTAAACGTATATTTTATAGGCAAATCGGCACTTGTTGGATGATGTGCTCACCATCACGTCAGCCGCCTATACCTCCCAGGACTGTACCTGGTACCCATTCGAGGCGGGGTCGATGAAAAAAAGTCTGATTGCCTCAGGATCAGAACCTTTAACCTTCCGATCAGCAACGGAGGGTCTAACCTCTACACCACGGCGACACCCATTTTTTTCATATAGACAAGTCACAAATCTAGAATAGACTTTAGGTTTTAAAACCTGACATGTTTCCATATCATATTTTAGACACAAATAACGTCTAAACTTTTTACACATCCCTAAACCTAGGATAGACCTGTACAAAATGTATACTCTACAACTCATCCCTGGAACCATCTTCCAAAGTGAATCAAAAACACCACTGTGCAACCTGTGTATGTACGATCAGAAACTTTTCTAGTATTATTTCATTATGGACCTCATGCCGCCTTAGAAGATAATAGTCATTTAAGCATATTACAAAGGCAAGTCATTAGGTAAAAGCAGTTGTATCCTAGTCGGCATGGAACATTATGCAGAAGAACAAATATTTCAGGACAAGGAATGGTCATTTTTTAATACTCAAAGTACGTGTCGTGAACATTTAGCAGTATGCTCATGTGGAACAGCCCAAAAAAGATGGCCACAGCAACGTGGAAGAGTAACGAGGTGTTTTTTGTTTGTGTGTGTGCAGAGGGTGTTAAATCTTCTTAAATCTATAGAAGAATAAAGGTTCAAAACCGTGATTAGTGCTCATTACAATGACATGTAAGTGAACAAGTTGAAGGCCATGTTCCGATCAAAGCGCCGGGGTCTTCTCTCAAAAGGAGTTTTGTTGCTGCATGGCTATGTCTGCCCACATACAACTACTCATAGAGTGGGTACCCTATAGACTTTGCAGCTTGAAGTATTGAAACATCCAGCATACAACCCAGACTTGGCAACATTAGACATTCATTTGTTTGGCCCATTGAAAGAACATTTGCAGGGTCTGAGATATGCTGATGGTTGCAGGCCTTACCTATAAGCTTCTCCTTGGTGGGCATCCACAGTCTTGTGCATCGGTGGACTATATGTGTTGCAAGGCAGGGAGACTATGTCGAGAAATAGGACACAGAACAAATTTGTTGCTGCCACTTGTAAAAAAAACTTATTAATGCTATTGCCTTAACTTATTGACTTCCTCTCATATATTATTTTCCAAAGATTTATTAGTTACTATACTTACAATTATTATTGTTGTTTAGAAATATAAGTAGAGAACATACTGAACGTACTGATACTCTCGTTGTTAAGACTTAGATCTTAGGATGATTATAATTATCTGTTTTTTGTGTTAATGGAATAATGTATGTAAAGAGTAAGCTAGAAGAGCAGAAATTAAGATGGGCATGCATGCTGAATTCTTCACCTTTTGAAAATAAAGTGTGTCATTTCCTTCATGGGATGTGCTAAATGACATGTATATCTTTTATCTTCAGAGTCCCAGCACCAATCAGCCAGCTCTGGCCATGCTGTGCGGAGGATACGGCTACGACAAGTGTACACCCGAGAATTGGCTGGATTATATGGGTGGCACGGCTAATGGGCAAACCCCATTTGATATCTGGTTTCATATCAGTTCTTCTGCTGTTGTTATCAATGGTATGTCAGTTAACAAAGAAGCTCAACCACATTCTTACAGTCTGTCTAAGAAAAAATAAACAAAATCAAGTGGCAAGACAGGTACTGGATACTGTCGTATCGATAGAGCCGCCATTCCCAGAATCGATACCATCCTGATGCAGTCACTGATTTGATAGGCATTTCCGTGTTTGTTTTCTATTCTCTTGGCCTCCTGCATCCTCTGTCATCTGACTTTAGATATTTTGACTTGCAATTGAGGTGAAATAAATGCTAGTATATCCAGCTTTACTGATTCAGTCTAAAGTTGTTGTTACCTCAACATTCTGGTAATCTTAGTTTAAGCTTCACAGCAGGTCACTCCACAGTTGATCCCCTTCTGTGCCCAAAAAAATACACACACAGAATGTCCATCGCTGTCCAAAATGAAAAACAACAACACAGACTGGAGTGTCAGCATATCCACTAGCATACCACCCGTGCATTAGAAGCATAGGGCAGTTATCAGAAGTGCTAACATAAACAGTCCAGCATTAGAAATGCAGTTCATCATCGGCGGAATCATGGTTAATTCAGCATTGTTTATACTCGGTTCATAATCTTCTTCGCGTTCACTGGCTGTAAACTTCTGCAGAAAGTTTGGATTGTTTGTCCACCTCTGGACTTTAGTCTTGTTCCCAAACCCGAATGTTGCATGCACGTCCGTTTAACAGAACTGACTAAATTGCAGGCAGATTGTTGGTTCCTTGCCTCTCAGGCAGATGCACTCTGACTTTACAGGAAGCCCCAGATTAGCAGACTCTTATGACTTGCTTGTTGGGGAGGCAGTGGGTCCATTATTGTTTTCCCCCACACTTGGGCTCTGGAACACACACAGGGAATGTTCATAATAATCTCCTGGGACCTTACTTTACCCCCCATGGCTGTTGACAAAACCATGTTTATAATGGTCAAAAAGGGAAAAAAAGCAGTTGATTTTTTTTGCTCCATGTTAAGTGATGAATTATGTTAAAAATTATTTTTGCATGTAACAAGTAATAATAATAAAACTTGATATGAATTATTTATTTGGTGAACGCAATGTGGCTGTGGACTTCACACTTGACTGCCTGCTTGTTAGTCTAGGGGTTCGAATTCCTGGATTTTATAAAAGCTGCTCAAAACTCAACATTTCTCCTGTGTCTTCTTCTCTACCTCTAGTTTCTGAGGTGAATTTCAGAGAATTATAATGTTTCTTAATTCATTGAAAAGTTATATTTTTCAAAGATTTGTATGGGTCGAAAAGGTTAAGGGCTCAGAATGCTGAAGAAGAAGTACCATGTAAAGAAGAACATAGACTTCCAAGAGGAAGACGTAATCTTCCCAACAATTTACAGCCAGTCAACCAGATGTGCACTTGTTTATTCTACAGGTACCTCATACACACCTCTAGAGTTCAAGTCGTTTCCGTGCAATGTTGCCACCTCAAATGAAACAGAAGCTTGCAGTTGCCAAGATTGTCTGGCCACTTGTACGCCTGTTCCACCACCTGTACCGAAACCTGGTCGCTGTGAGATCATCCACTTAGACTGCTATGACTTTGCTTTTGGGCTGGCCTTCATTGTCTTTTTCTTGCTATTTGGATGCTACTGCATGTGTTACAACATCATCGTCCAGGATTCCCTGCGCTTGGAGAAAGCAGGAGAAGAAAATGACCTGGGTTGCTTTGGAAGACAAGGTCAGGAATGGAATCTTTCTGTTTGTGGTAGATTTGCATGTATCTTTTGTTTCTGTTTCTGGTCCTTTGCTTCCATTTTAAACTTTTAATCCAATTCTGCACTTATGTTGAGGTAAATCTAAATTCGGGAGATGTGAACCAGTGTCATTGCACACGGTTATAAACCATAAGTGCTCTGCCACCAGTACGAACAGCTAAAAAACTGTCCACATGTGTCGCAGTTGGCACGCAACTCTGTAGCTACAGAGACGTTCCTCCATTTAGCCCATAGTGTTAACTCTGGTACCCTTTACTTAGAGGCTTGGCGAACCCCATGAGCCACCTGGTTTCAAACACCCGTCGTAGGCTGCAGCCAGTCGCAGCTGGATTTAAAAGTGAATTTCCTATCGACTGCGCAAGTACAGCACCTACTTCTGTTAAACTTGTGAGGGGTATAATTTTTTTTTTTACATCCTGTGTCTTGCTATAAGAATAAATGATCATGGTTCACCATCTCACTGAAGCTGAGTTCAGGTTTATATGCTTGTCTTAGCCAAGCCTTCCCATTATTGATCCCCCCCCCCCCCCCCCCCCCCCTTTTTCCTTAAAATTCTGCAGTTTGTCATGAATTTTTCAAGTTTATTTGTGCTCGCAACATGCCCCCAAAAATGGGACTGTATGTATCCAAATTCTGTATTAAACTTAACGTCCCTGATATTTTATTATTATAATTTTTTTGCATCTTTGCAGAAAGTAGGTTGCCATTTCTTTCTTTCTTGGCAATGTCCACCCTGGCCTATGGCCATAGTCATTGTCTCAGTAGTCTGATTCTCTACCTACTATTGAGAACTTGTGACTGTTCCCAGTGATTATCTGCCGTCTGCTCTCAGAATCAGCCTACCATCTGCTCCTGTGGTTTCATATTAGCATATTAAGAAAAATGTGAAGAACCATTTTTCACGCCTTCAGGCATATTGGGTATAGATCTATAATTTATGCACACATTGGCACTCAGAGGGTGATACGGCAGCACCGCGCCAGCTGTCTTCACTTCCAAGGACTTTACCTGGTACCTATTTAAGTCTTTGTGGCTTAGAAGTCAAGGTCATTTTTGATTAAAAAATCCATCAGGATCTGAACCCAAAACCTTCAAGTTCCCATGATAAGGTCTAGCCACTACACCACGGTTGCTTCCATATGAGGATGATTGGGAAACTAAACATGTGCTTTGTTTGTTTTTAGTGGTCATCCCTTTTTCTTCTTTTTTTTTTGTCACACTGTTACCGGACTGTAGCCCGGTGACGTTGTTTTCTTTATTTGTCTTGTGCTTCTCGCCTGGCTTAACTGATGATTTTTTCATCTTTTTTTTTTGGGTGCAGGTTTCAGCTACACTGTCTATGTCTTCCTCGGTTTTCCTGTTGCCTTTCACTTGATGTTCTGCTCTAGAAGGTTTCATGTACAGTTTGGTCTGGCTGCTTTATTACTAGATTTTCAGACCATTTCATTCTGTCTTTCAATGTAATTCAGGCCTGATCATGTTCCAACTGTTTTTATTACTACTGTTTTTTTTTATCCATTATGTTCACATGCACTTTGATCTTGTTTGCAGATTATCATTCCAAACTTTACAGGCCTCTGAGTGAATTACAAAAGACAGTGAACTTTGAATGAATTACAAAAGACAGTGAAGCTCATACTAGAGACAACACTGCAGATATATGTGATCTATTTCAAGCGAATGAAAGAAGAAGAATCATTTCTTTTGTTTTCTGAGCCTCCAGATTCTTCCGAGCAGAAAATAAAACACATAAAGTAACTAATTTCCCTCCATGTGTCAAACCAGGTTTGGCAGCAGATCGCAATGTGAGGAAGCAGCAGTACCTGACCAACATCACAGAAAGCGATCTCGGCTGTTTCGAGCGAGCTGGAGCCAAGATGGAAATTTTCCTAGAGAAACAGTTTTTCAACTGGGGTTATTTTTGCGCTCGTCATCCTTTTATTGTCACGGTAATATTTTGTTGGATTTTTTCTTTTTGAAGTGTTAATCAAAACAAGTGGGGGCAAAATAAAATCCTCACCTGCACAGTCATGGCGACAGCACTAGCCATGCGGCCGTAAGTCCTCAGGCTCAGAGACCCCTTGGCTACACCGCAAAAGTGGTAAATTTTTTTTTTTTCTTTAACTGGCAATCATAATAAGACTAAGATTAAACAGTCATGTAATTCATTAAAAAAATTGTTAGTTGCATATCCTTTACAGAATATTGCAGAAGACACCCTAGCATGTTTTAGCTGTTGTGGTTTTCCTGGGCATATTTTACTTCAGTAGTTTGCTGTTGCTTCTCAACGGTCAGCTCTTGGTACCACTATCGAAACCAGCGCAAGATGAATTGACCGCAGCTAGACCAAACCAGGCATTATGAGTCGTGTTCGCAACGCCTAAGGCTCAGAGGCCGACCTGTTTATTAAGAAAATCAGATGAGATAATTTGGTCAGTACTGACTGCCAGAAAGTCACGCTGAAGAAATACAATAAACACAAAGCAAAGGGAAAACCATGCACAGGATTGAATGAGAGCTTCAGTAACAGCCTTGATAAAAGGTCACCTAATATAAGACATTAGAGAGAGCACACAGAAGAATCTTACACACGCATACACACTCCTAACACTTTGATAGGGTAACTGGAGAAAGAGAGTGAAGGTCCCTTTGTACACAAGTGGCGCACCGGGCATTTAAGGCTAGGCCCCATATTTTAATGGGCTATGTGGTCAAAATCATGCTGGCCACCTTTACTTCCCAGGACAATATCTGGTACATCCATTTAAGGCTGGGTTGACTTGGGGATCGAGGCCACCTATGGATCTAGGATGTTTTGTTTCTGTTGCTGTCAAGTGTAAATCATCTTTTATTCATGCCAAAAATACTTCAGTTTCCTTAAATTTTCACAATAACCACTGTAATTCAGTACTAAGTTATTGTTCAGTTAGATTGTCTTTTTTCCATCCAAAGAATTTGTAGGACTCCCATAACATTTACTATAATCAAAAGATCATATTTTCTTTTCAGTTGATTTGTAACTTTTTCGTTCGAAATTTCACATTTCTGTGTTGCCTCAGGACATAAAGTGAAAATTTAATGCATTCAGGAATAAATGCTGAGAAAACTAATTCCTTCAGTAACAAAAGGTTTGTCAAGAGATCCAAAGAGAAGGAGTTGATTGTTATGAACAGTCAGGTCTGAAGCAAAGAATTACACCAAACAGGCACTGAAATGAGGAACAGATGGATTGAGGTAACGAGATGTCCAGGAAAAACCCTAAAAAAGATGTTGAAAATAGAGGCCAAAGGTGCGAGACTGAATTCCATCCACATAGAAATGATTGCACAGGATACATTGGAATGGAGGAATAATCTGCGAGCCATGTGTGGCATGTCATGGACAACAGAATGATAATTATGACCTTGCCACAGAAAATACATGTGCTCTTATTTTGTTGCACTATTTATTTTGGAATTTTATTGATTGTTGTCACTGGTGTCAGCCCATCATTCCAGGTGATGGTGTTATCTTGTGCTATAGGAACCTCCACTCTATAGCACAAAGTCTGAGCACTATTGTAGAGACCATGTGTTGCCCATGCAGCATGATCCCCTGCATGGCCTGTCTTGTTTACTGCAGAGGAAAAGTAACACCAGTATGTTATGTGATAGCTCAGTCATATTTGGACCCTGTTAACAGAATAGGTAGTGCCTACTGCTGTTATGTGGTAGCTCAGTCATATTTGGACCCTGTTAACAGAATAGGTAGTGCCTACTGCTGTTATGTGGTAGCTCAGTCGTATTTGGACCCTGTTAACAGAACAGGTAGTGCCTACTGCTGTTATGTGGTAGCTCAGTCATATCTGACCGTGTTAACAGAACAGGTAGTGCCTACTGCTGTTATGTGGTAGCTCAGTCATATCTAACCCTGTGAACAGAACAGGTAGTGCCTACTGCTGTTATGTGGTAGCTCAGTCATATCTGACCATGTTAACAGAACAGGTAGTGCCTACTGCTGTTATGTGGTAGCTCAGTCATATCTGACCATGTTAACAGGACAGGTAGTGCCTACTGCTGTTATGTGGTAGCTCAGTCATATTCAGACCATGTTAACAGAACAGGTAGTGCCTACTGCTGTTATGTGGTAGCTCAGTCATATTCAGACCATGTTAACAGAACAGGTAGTGCCTACTGCTGTTATGTGGTAGCTCAGTCATATCTGACCATGTTAACAGAACAGGTAGTGCCTACTGCTGTTATGTGGTAGCTCAGTCATATTCAGACCATGTTAACAGAACAGGTAGTGCCTACTGCTGTTATGTGGTAGCTCAGTCAATATCTGACCAAAACAAGACAGTGTAATTCAAAACCGATATTATCTCAGTACATAAATACTCTATGTGTTTCTGTAGGTGATAGCTGTGCTGGTAACTGGAGCTTTGGTTGCTGGTGCCGCCCTTCTCACAGTCACCACTGACCCAGTCAAGTTGTGGTCAGCTCCAGACAGCCGGGCGCGCTTAGAGAAGGACTACTATGACTCTCATTTTACGTATGTGTTTTGTATTGTATGTTGTATGTACTTGTTTTATGTTGTATATACTTTTTTATATCGTATGTTTGTACTTTTTATGTTGTTTTAAAATATTTAATGTATATTTTTTTCATGTAATTATATGCTTGTTTAATGTGGGTAAAAGTGCAACATGAAAATCTTAATATGGATGCCTACAAAATGTAGGATAAAATGGAAAGGATATCAGACTTGTCAGTAATCTGTCATTATCAGTCAACAGATCCCGTCCACAACGTTGCTATCCTTACAGCATGCCAGAAAGTCTCTCTGTCTCACGCCAGTTCTGCAGTCCTGGGTGCTTTCATAGCCAATGAATGCTTCTTCAATGTCATATGTCCGCCTACGGAGGTTTTACTTCAGCCTCATTATCTGGAATCTGAACCTTCCCATCACCATTCTCTCCAGGCCACTGTGACGTTTAACAAGGCCATAAAACCCCAGCTTTCAGGACAGGATCCTGTTTATGAGCCAGTTCTCTTCGATGCTCGTGTCATGTGTAAAAGTTAGTTGTGTATCCTTTACAGGACGTTGCAGAACCAACCAGAGCAGTTTTGGTCTGTTGTCGTTTTGTTTTGGCAAATTTACATCCAGTAGTTTGCCATTGCTTTCTGGGTGGTTGGCTGCTCGATACCATTTTTGAAACCAGAGCAAGGCCCGCTGCTGGGTTCAAACCCGACACGCCAGCATTACGAAGCTCGTTCACAACACCTAAGTCACAGATGCCGACTCATGCCAATTAGGCACCCCAAAAGGCTGCTCATGCATCTTCATTTTTTTCTGTTGTCATTTAGAGGTAACGGGTTCGTAGCATGAGCTTTCAATTTTAATATTGTCTAGTGCGGTGGCCCTCGGCCTTCCAAATGTTGCGACCCTTAATACAGTTTATCATGCTGTGGCAACCCCCAAACATACCATTTTTTTCGTGACTACTTCAGGTGTTGCCGTGCTGTAGCGGCTAGACGCTCACCTGCAGATCAGAAGGTCCTGGGTTTTCTCCACAGTGGAGCCTGATTTAAAAAAAAAAAAAGACTTTGGCTCCCAGGTTGACCCAGCCTTGAGTGGGTACTAAGTGCAGTCCTGGGAAGCAAAGGTGGCAGGCATAATGCTGACCACATCACCCATCTTGTGCCGTTAGTCTGTAAAATATAGATCTAGGCCTATGTACCCAATACGCCTGAAAGACTTGGAAAAGGCTCCATTACGTATACAACATAACTTTAATGAATATGTCTTTTCCTATGGTCTTGGGCAATCCCTTAGGCAACGAAAGGCTCGATCGACCCAAAAAAGGGTCGTAACCCACAGGTTGAGAACCGCTGGTCTAATGTAACCTTCTTTTACTTCTTTCTGTGAGTGCCAGTCAGAACATGTCTATTTGTTTTAACATATGTATATATATATATGTTTCAACGGCCTTAATGGTTCCTCATCTGTTTATTTTTATGTGGAGTGGTGTTACTGTGTGGTGATGGAGTGGCTGTTTTATTGAGTGTCATGCGTAGTGAAAATATCAGTTTCTTATGTCTTCTCATAGACCATATATTTGAAGTCACTGTCTGCTGTCTTCTTTCAGGCCCTTCTATCGCACAGAGCAGCTTTTGATATCCCAGCCTGACAACCACACAGTCATCAACTATAAAAATCACAACTATAGCAGCTTGTTCGACAAGACATTTTTACATGAGGTACTGGCTTTGTTTTATACTCATTATACTTCTCATGTGGTTCAGCCCAAAGACCAGCATGAAGTAAAGCTTTTTAAAAAAAGTTGTAGGGGCCCTTTCCTTACCATTAGGCATATTGGGTTTGTAGAGCTCTACATGTATTTTATAGACCAATCAGTCAGCATCATGCCGGCCACTTTTTTACTTCCCAGGACTTTACCTGCTGCTTTTTTAGGCTGGGTCAACCTGAGAGCTCAGGTCATTAAAAAATAATCTGCATCAGTGCGGATTTTAACTTACGACCTTCAGGGTCACCGGCGAGTGTCTAGCCGCTGCACTATGACGGTTCCTGAAGACCAAAATGGGAAAATTGTTTACATTCTCTCTGTCCCAGGAAAAGCTTGGTGTGTGATGTTTAAACATCTATAATTTGTAGTCCCCCCCCCCCCCCACATGTCACATAATGCTAGTGTCACATGTCTTTGTTAGTGTTTTCCCTAATGAACCAAAAGACACTCTGAAGATGTTGGCTTGCAATGGTCTAGGCAGTATCCTGCAGCTCCAATAAACATCTAACCTACTTCAAGTGTGAGGTGACTCAAATTATGGCACTGCAGAATAGAATAAACATTCCTAGGCACAACATGGACTGACTTCCCCACTACATTTGAGCTCCCAGACTAGATAGTAGTCCTATGCTAGTCAAATTAACACAGTTTAATATGAAGTATAACAATACAACAGATACTCCAGACAACTTAGAAACTCTGAAGCTGGATGTGGGTTACCTTGATAGCGTTAGGATACTGATCATTGACTTGGCCTCCAGATATTAATAACATCCTGTGACAAAGGGGAAAACCAGAGTTAGCCAGACACCACACAATGTTCACTTCCCATCCATATATTCACATAGTTTTAGCTCAGATGTCTGTGCCAGGCTTTTATAGACTGCATAAATCTGTAACAACCCCAGGATCTCCTTGACAGCCGTGAGGTTAGAAAAAAACCAAGTTCTGTCTAATGCTGCTCTCTAGTGACAGTGATAGTTTGTATATGCCAACTTGTAGAGGGATAACACCATTTCCTTTCCATAATTGGATACTTTTACTCCCACAAGTATGCACGAATATAGGAATATAGATGTATGAAACGCGCAAGAGCCACACAAACACAATACAACTATCTTACTCTCCCGCCAACATTTTTTTTTTTTACATTTTGGGCAGGGCGTACGGGACGTCACACATGTACTAAAACTAGCATGACCCCAGCTGGTGCCGATCAGTACGGTCTGACCTGACCTGTTCATTCCAGATACTTCCCCTAGTTAACAGGTGCATATATCTATCAAATGTGAACAGTCATAAAATGAATCTGAAATGTCCAAGCTGACTGGAACCCATTGAAGGAGCATGAGAAGAGAATTTTCCTCAGCTTGTAGGGATGGTTTGACAGCCAGGTCCCGTTGCTTCACATAGCCACCTCTGTCTTACACTCAGCAGCAGGGCCGAATATATGGTACTAATAATCTATAATGTACATACCCATGCTCATGAATGTTCCCGGGTGAATCAGTAATTCAAACGGTGGTAAGCAGATAGACAGAAAAGGCAGCAAGCCATCTGATCACCCTGGAAGCTCAGTCTGAGTTCAAACTAATCGTCCCTCCAGCTAGAGGCGGGAGGGGATTTATCAAAACAATATGACTTGAGACAGAAGACTGGACATACATGATGAACAAACAAATGAAGTTATTTTCAAAGGGTTAAGAATCGGACATACAGGTTAAAAATTTGAGCTCTCAGGTCCGTATACTATTCTGCTCCTGTGGCCTCATTCCTTACATGCATTATTCTGTTTATACATCATTTAGCAGATAATAATAAACATCTAAGTCTTAGTTACAAATGTAGGAATGTGCAGTAATAATACATAAATTTATAAACAATAATCTTCTTATTAGCGTTTACCAGCTGTAAAATCTAGCAAAAAGTTATGGTTGTTCATCCACTCTCTGACTATGATCTTTATCCAGAAGTTGAGTTTTGTGTGCACATCTGTTCCATAGATCTGGTTTATTTATATGCAGACTGTCGGTTGCTTGCCTCTTAGGCAGATGCCTCCAGCCTTGAAATAAACCATCTAATTAATCACCTCCTAAGATATGCTTGTTAATGGGTGCAGTGTATTTAATTTTTCTTCTCCTAAAGGAAGCCCCGGGAAACCCACATGGGGATAAATGGTAACAGTTCTTTGGTATAGTACTTGTAATTGTAACAGGAAAAACTATCAAAAGTAAAACAGAGACTGTTATTATTGCCGTTATTTACCACTTGTGGAGTGCAGGCAGGCAGGTCTGGTAACCATAGGATTTACGACCGTGTGGCTAATTTATTGGCCGCGGACTGTGCAGATTAGGGTTATATGTTTGTCTATGATGGTGTTGGTTCTGTTTGCATCTGTGCAGTTTTTTAGGAGGACCAGATATGATTATATTTACTCGGGGAATGGTTTCACTTGTGAAAAAAAAAAATAATGACTTGTTTAATTAATCCATTACAGCATCACAAATTGTTGCCGGTAGTGTTTGGTTACTGTAAAGGTCACAGGGTCATGATATGAGTTACCCAGTACATTTCTTTAGGCCTAGTGGAATGTAACCTATTTAATTCTCCCCCCCCCCCCCCCCTTTCATGTTTATTGATTAATCCCCCTATATAATGTCTTTAAACACATTTTTATTTGTTTAAATATCCTGAAACCATGAGTAACTACTTTGGCTCAGTACTATGGATATCCCAATCCTTCGGCCTTGATTCCGTGATAGATACTGTAAATCTGGCTTTTCTGCCTACCCCCGGGTGTAAACCTGGACCACAAGAAGTTCATCAACCAGTTGCAGCGCAGTCGAGTTTAACCAACTGAGCTAGTGCGCCGGGCTAAAAATTGTTTAAAAAAACTTATTTACATTTGAAAAACTATTCTTAGTGTTGCTGAGAAAAAGTTGTTTAAAGGATTTTTGCCTGGAAATTCTTAGGTTCTGAGCCTTTTTTTGGGTGTGTGCCTCAAAAGAGTTTTCAGGGTGAAAGGATTTTAAGTAGGGTTATAAAACATCCTAGATAAAAATTTCTTTCAGTTCTCATCTTGGATCGAACTATATCTGTTCAAGTTAGTGGCGGACATTACATACCCTAGCCTCTTCACTGATTGTTTGTCATATTCATAATCTTGTTATCATTCACTTCATTACTTGTGTCCCCAGTTGCTAGATTCACAGAAAGCTGTCACTGAAATTCATATTGTTTGTGTCCCTAGTTGTTAGATCTACAGATGCTGTCAATGAAATTCTTGTTCTCTTCATTGTCCCCAGCTGCTAGGTATACATAATGTCATCATTAAAATTCTTATTGTTTCCATCCCCAGCTGTTAGATCTACAGAATGCCTCCACTGAAATTGTCATTGTCTGTGTCCCCAGCTGTTAGATCTACAGAATGCCATCATTGAAACTTTCATTGTTTGTGTCCCCAGCTGTTAGATCTACAGAATGCCATCATTGAAACTTTCATTGTCTGTGTCCCCAGCTGTTAGATCTACAGAATGCCATCATTGAAACTTTCATTGTCTGTGTCCCCAGCTGTTAGATCTACAGAATGCCATCATTGAAACTTTCATTGTCTGTGTTCCCAGCTGTTAGATCTACAGAATGCCATCATTGAAACTTTCATTGTCTGTGTCCCCAGCTGTTAGATCTACAGAATGCCATCATTGAAACTTTCATTGTCTGTGTCCCCAGCTGTTAGATCTACAGAATGCCATCATTGAAACTTTCATTGTCTGTGTCCCCAGCTGTTAGATCTACAGAATGCCATCATTGAAACTTTCATTGTCTGTGTCCCCAGCTGTTAGATCTACAGAATGCCATCATTGAAACTTTCATTGTCTGTGTCCCCAGCTGTTAGATCTACAGAATGCCATCATTGAAACTTTCATTGTCTGTGTCCCCAGCTGTTAGATCTACAGAATGCTATCACTAAAATTCAGGCAGAATACAACAATAAGACCATCATGCTACAGGACATTTGCTTTGCCCCACTGCAACCGGAAAACAACAACTGCACCATCATGAGCATTCTCAATTACTACCAAAACTCACATGAGATGATTGACAAGGTAGCCAAGGACGCTTATGGGTTCTGGGTGCTTGCCGATTACCTTGACCATTTTCAGTCTTGTGTGTTGTAAGTAAATATCCATTTTTTTTGTTAACTTGTTCTGTTGTGTCTGCCTGGCCCTGCTCTCTTCCTCTCCCTCCCTCTCTCTCCCCCCCTCTCTCTGTCTCTCTCACCTGCCCACTCACTCACTCACTGTCTGTCTCTTTCTCTGCCTGTTTATTCATTGTTTGTCTACCCATCTACTTACCTGGGTATTCTTTGATGTACAAGGTCCGACAATTAACAAATGAAACTGATTGGCCATGGCAAAAGTGCCATATATATAGCAAACCATAGAATCTAAAGAGACAACATTCATCTATGATCTGGCAACTTTTCATCACCACTCGATAAGCAGATAACACACAAGCCGCTATTTTGTTTACCTAGTCAGAGATGCATTGTTACGTAATCAGCACGGAGCAAAAAGCTAACATTAAATTCTTTTTAAAACCCAGAAAAAGTGCCATTGAAACAGTTCATTTGATTCAACAAGTTTATGGGGATAATTGTTTATCTCGTGCACAGATTTGGTGCACAGGTGGTATTCATGACTCAAAGGTGGTGAGGAAATGATTACTAATGCACCTAGACCTGGGCGCCAAATTTCTGTCCGTAATGATGAACTCATTGCAAAAGTCAGAAAACGGATACAAGAAGATCATTGTTTTACTGTTCAGATGATGGCGGATGAATCTGGTGGTAATAGAGAGACCATTCATAATATTTTAGTGCAAGATTTTGGCAAGAAAAAAGTGGCTTGAGGGTTTGTACCACGTTCATTGTTTGATGACCAAAAACATCAGTTGGTTGAGTACCCAAGAGACATATTGCATATTTTATTTCTTTTATTTATATTATATATATGTATATATACATATTGTTAAATAAGCTTAGCATGCTTTTCATAAGATAAAATACACTTGCTTAATGGGAGACCAGTGTTAGGAAGGGCCGAATGTAAGACAGGGCTACATGCTCAATTTGTGACCCTTTAAAAAATAAAATTTGTTAGATCGTTCTGCTGTCTAGGCAGATGTGTAGATAAAATGTGTAGATAGAATAAAGGAGAGAGGAATAATGAAGGAAGACCCTGCATTGCCTGTATTGATGACATGCCATGTTTCTCACCACCAGGTCCCCGTTTGCTCTCAATGACACATCACTGTTACACACCCCATGCATGGGCACATTCGGAGGTCCAGTTTACCCCTGGGTAGCCCTCGGTGGATATCAAGGTATTCCTAATTGGTATTGCTTGATGACTGTTGACTTATTTGTGTGTAATATTTGGTTGCGGTGGTGCAGTATTGCTTCAAATTACCTGCTAACGTTATACTCTGAGGTTCAGTGATGGCAGACGTATTTCTTTTTCTGCTTTCACCTTTAAAAGGATGGTGGGTACGTTGTGTTATGGGTTACAGCTAGTCTGTGATATTTTTGCTCTGCGGCCTAACACATCTACTTCCGTCAAATCCTTAGTTAATTGTTTATTACTCTATGCTTGTTACAAAGCAATGGATCTGTTATTTGTTCCCCCACTACCTTACCTGTTAGTGTGTATCTGGGTATGCTTATGTGCAGACACATCATCTATGCTTTTTTGTTTTTTTACTTAATATTTATATTGTGTAATAATTCATTATATATATGTGTATGTATGTATGTATGTGTGTGTGTGTGTATATATATATATATATATATTTATATAAAATCTAATTAATAATGTTTTGTAGTCATTCATTTTATGCATTCTTGTTTATTCAGTCATTTGTGTTTATTTAGTCATTCACATTTATTTAATCACCCATGTGTATTTATTCAGCCATCTGTGTTTATTCAGTCAGTCGCATTTATTCAGTCATTTGTGTTTATTTAGTCATCTGTGTTTCATATTCATGTTTATTTAGTCATGTGTTTCATATTCATGTTTGTTTAGTCATATGTGTTTCTTACTCATGTTTATTTAGTCATCTGTGTTCCTTATTCATGTTTATTTAGTCATCTGTGTTTCTTATTCATGTTTATTTAGTCATTTGTGTTTCTTCTTCAGTCTTCCATGTTTATTTAATAACTTCTGTTTATTCCACGTATGGGTTCAGGGGTCCTGCTGTGGGGAAAACAAAAATAGACCTCCTGCCTCCCCAACAAGCATGTGCGCTTTCTTAAAAGTCTGAGTGCATCGGCCTAAGAGGCAAGGAACCAATAATCTGCATACAGTTAATTCAGATCTGTTAAACAGATGTGCACACAACACTCAGGTTCTATAAAAAGACTGTAGGTGGACGAACAACCAGAACTTTCCGCCCGAGTTTACAGCCAGTGAGCATGAAGAAGAAGAAGTTGTACATTTATTTGGTCTTGTGTGCTTGTTCAGTCATCCATCCATATTTATTCAGTCAGTCACATTTATTCAGTCATTTGTGTTTATCAGTCTTTTGTATTTATTCAGTCATTCACATTTATTCAGTCATTAATGTGTGTGTTCCATAGTTTGTATTGAACACCATATTTCTGCTGTTGCCTCCCACAGACAAAGACTACAGCACTGCAAATGCATTTGTGATTACATTTGTGGTGAACAATCACCTGGATCCGAAACAACTGGAGCCCGCCAAGGCATGGGAGGCCAAGTACATCGAGTTTATGAAGAATTATACAGCAGAACATCCCGGTGTGCAGATTGCTTTCTCCGCAGAGGTCTTGTATTGTTTATCCATATTAATCATTTTCTTTGTCTATTACTTTGTAACTGTATTTTGTAGCTTTTTCTGTCTCAACTCAGCTCTGTGTGTCCGATTTTCTGCCTGCTTGTGTAAGTCTGATCTATTTCACCTTGTCTGTCTGTTATCATATATTTACTTAAGCTGCCTGACTCAGTTGATATAATTTATTTACAGACTTTGTCTAATCCAGTGATTCCCAAACTGTTCACCCTGACCGCAACTTCTTCACAGGGGCGCCGAGAAATATTCGAAGATACACGAGTTTTTTTTTTTTTAATCTCTCACGTATGAATAGTCTTAATTTTACTTAGGTTAGGGCGCCGTGGAAACATTTTAATTGAAAAAAAGGCTAAGAAAAGTTTGGAAAACACTGGTCTAATCAGTTGTGATTTTCTGTCCAGCCTTTAATGTCTGGTGGGGTGGCTAATATTCATCTAAAAATTAGCTTCTCCTTTTTATCCTTCCTTCTTTCACTTACTATCGCTTGTTTAATCTACTGATTACTGATTTAAGAATCATTATCATAGCACACTGGGCATACCCATAGGTGCTCCTCTCCTTTAGCAAATGTCTTAAAGTGTAGATGTTAACTTTTTCTATAGCACACTTTTTATAAACTTAACTTTCGCTTGCATTTATACATCCCTCCTTACCGGATCCACACCTAATTTCTCGTTTACGTTCTTACACATATTATTTCATCTAACATCTTCTGTTAGCATTTGTTCATAAACGGTCTTCAGAATGTCTTTGTTTAGTACAGATGTTTCTGTAGCTGTCGCTTTTGTGGCCAAAAAATCAGCTCTTTCATTTTCTTGCACTCCTGCATTGCCCAGACAGTGTATCGATATGAGTCACTGTAAAGTTGACCTGCTAATGCTCGGTGTCCACTCATGCCACATTTGTCTGTTTTAAGCTGTCCTCAGTACCGACTAAAAATGAGACACTAATTCCTCTTCTAACTATTTTCTTCTATCTAATTCAGAGCTGCAGTGAGTACTTCCACCTCCATCCTCATGCTTGAAGTTGTAGATAGGTAGATAGTTAACTAAATTATATCTGTCACCATCTCTTTATTTAGTTATATCTTATAACTAGTACCGCTATAATTAATTAGCCACTGTTTAAGTATCATTTGTATAACTACAGTAAAACCTTGATAATAGGAACATGCTTAACTCTTTCAGGCCCATGAATTTTGACAGACTTGGCCCAAATTAATTTCCCTTTACAAAAATGGCAGAGGGGTGGGTGCACAAGAAAGGCTATAGAGATTGTAATAGACTTCTAATCCCTATAAAAGAATATATTTTTAAAAGAGAAATGAATGTACATTTTGAATCTGATGATAAGTGTTTGTTTAATTTTGTTACAGTTAGTGGGAAAGAAGAATTCATCAGGTGTTAATTTTGCAAGGACAACATTTCACACAAAACGTCTTCACTTACCATGGTTTTGCAGCCACAAGAGTAGTAAATATCCAAATTCAAGAACAAAACTTCAAAGTTTGTTCAATTTCCTAACATATTCCAAAGTTATAATAACTTTCTGGGTTAGTTTAGCACTCAGGAGCTCTTAGTTCTCACAGAGTGCTGGGCAAAATTTCAGAGAAAAAAATGGCAGAAAAATAAGCCACTACACACAAAGTATTTACTTTGTACAGTTATTTACAGACTGTAGCTGCGATGATTTAGTGTAGCTTAGCCATAGTATAGTACTGTCTCTTTGTTTAGAGCACTTTTTTTCTCTTACACCATAAATACGGTAGTATGGGACATTGTCTGTGTAATAAACTCATTAGAATCGCTAGATTCCGAACAGCTGATCGTTCAGCTTCACTGGTAAAAATTCACCGTCCGAAACACTTTCCAAAAAATCTAAATTTTTATTATTATCACAATTAAGAACATCTGACTGAAACAATTTCAGAGCTTCGGCCGCAGAAAGACGCATTCTGCGACCTGTACTTGTAGTTGGAACATTGGTATTCATGGCACTCAAAAACAAACTTAGAAAATGAACTGCAAAAAAAAAAAATTCACTGTTTTTTCTCTCAAATTATCCATGTGTGGTTTAGTCAAGGAAATGAAACTAAAAGGATTTCGGCAGAGTGACTTTCCCTGAATAGTTTAATTGTACCTCCAAACATTAGAAAATAGTACAAAGCCGCGTGCGAAGCAAAATGTAAGGGACACACAATTGACGATGACACCGTTGTTTGGGCAAAACGGAACCTTCTCAAACAACGCTCACATCGTTGTTTAGGCCTCAAAGAGTTAAGATAATCGCTCTTCAACATGAAAACAGTTTTGTTCCAGCAGAGTTGTATCATTATCTCAAAAATAAAGGTGAGAGGATTGACTTTATTGCACTGGGTTTTATTCCATATGGCTCAGTCTCTCTCAAGAAACAGCTAGCTACCTGCCAGGAAGCGCTGCACGTAGCACAACCTCTGTTGCTCTAGCGACGATCCCCAGGAATCTCCTCAAAAATTGCACCCGTGAACTGAACGGCGCCACTGAAATGAACCCACGACCTTTAGAGAGCAAAGCAAGCGGCTTGACTTCTTAGCCACAGAGACCCCCAGTGTTGTATTATTATGACACCTATTACTCCCCAAATAGTACACATTTTTTATCATTAGCTCTTGATTTTTTTTGTCTCTTCGAATTTATGTTGACAAGGTTTTACTGTATCTGTATTCCTTAATCCAGTTAACAAACATATACCTACCCTTATCTTGGTATCTAGTAAGCCACCTTATTGCTGTCAGTCCTTCAAATTTACAGTGCATTTGCTTGAGAAGCAAGGAACTGACTGCATACAAATAAGTCAGATCTGTGCACGCAAAACCCAAGCTCTGGAAAAAGACCAAAAGTCCAGGATTGGATGAACAACCAGAACTTTTCAGTGGAATTTACAGCCCACGAACACAAAGAAGCAGAAAAAGACTATTGATAAATCTGCGTCTGATTACCCACTGTTTAACAAGCACTATGATTCTGACCAGTTAAACTGTTACAATCTTTCAGAGATCTATAGAGGATGAGATTGACCGGCAGAGCCAGAGTGACATCATCACCATCCTGTGCAGCTACCTGATCATGTTTGCCTACATCACCATCTGCTTGGGACAGTACACCAGCTTTAGTAGGATCCTGGTTAGTATAGCTACAGACGGTTAACCAGGCAGTGGCTAGATATACTGACAGTGACAGGACAGCTAACTAGACAGTAGCTAGACATAATGACAGTCACACCATCTGCCTGGGACAGTACACCAGCTGTAGATGATCCTGGTTAGTATAGCTCAGACGGTTAACCAAACAGTGGCTAGATATACTGACAGTGACAGGACAGTTAACTAGACAGCCAGCTAGGCAGTAGCTAGACATAATGACAGTCACACCATCTGCCTGGGACAGTACACCAGCTGTAGACAGATCCTGGTTAGTATAGCTACAGACGGTTAACCAGGATAATGAACAGTGACTAGATATACTGACAGTGACAGGACAGTTAACTAGACAGCCAACTAGACAATAGCTAGACATAATGACAGTCACACCATCTGCCTGGGACAGTACACCAGCTGTAGACGGATCCTGGTTAGTATAGCTACAGACGGTTAACCAAACAGTGGCTAGATATACTGACAGTCACAGGACAGTTAACTAGACAGCCAGCTAGGCAGTAGCTAGACATAATGACAGTCACACCATCTGCCTGGGACAGTACACCAGCTGTAGACAGATCCTGGTTAGTATAGCTACAGACGGTTAACCAGGATAATGAACAGTGGCTAGATTTACTGACAGTGACAGGACAGTTGACTAGACAGCCAACTAGACAGTAGCTACACATAATGACAGTCACACTATCTGCCTGGGACAGTACACCAGCTGTAGACGGATCCTGGTTAGTATAGCTACAGACGGTTAACCAAACAGTGGCTAGATATACTGACAGTCTCAGGACAGCTAACTAGATATACTGACAGTGACAGGACAGTTAACTAGACAGTAGCCAACTAGACAGTAGCTAGACATAATGACAGTCACACCGGCTGTGGACAGATCTGGTAAGTGGGAGTCAGACGCTTGAGAGTGCAGCAAGCATAGCTGAATATTTCAGTCATTCTTCGATTCTTTCCAGGGACATGTTATTTTAATTCATTACATCATAAGAAATGTTTATTTTAACTAATAGATAATTCTACCTGAAGTAATTAAAAAAAAAAAAACCTTTGTGACAGAACGGGTTAAAGTAAGCATATGTACAGAATGAGTTGGTGTACAAACTGGCTGAGGTATAAGGAGTTGAAGAAATGGAAGCATCTGAACAGTGATAAAGAAACATGCATGGTGATTTTTTGGGGACTAAAATAGTTAAAAATTAATAAAACAAGAATAATCCTGAGCTGCAACCCCAAAAGGAATCACGTTGAGCTCTACTTCAGAAGAAGCATATTGATGTTATTATAGTTGACGTAAAAAAAAAAACTTAATCGGTAAAAGAAGAAAAAGAAATCATCTTCACAATGTCACAGACACGAATGACAAAATTAATGTTGCAGCAAGAAAACCTAAAACCTTCATTTACATGCGATACAATTGGGCAGTCATACAGTTACAGACAAAAATACATATAGCTGCTGAGATTTTTTGGCACGCCCTGTCAAAAATATTCAGTCATTGATTAAATACTTGAGTCTCTTTGTTCATATATCACTTCATGAAAAAGATCCAGGGCAGGAAGTGACCTAGTGTTGTAAGGCATTTAATGTGTTGTACAAGTTGATCTTTATTTCTTTAAGAAGGCTGTTCTTTGAAGCATAGTTCTATGTTTTGTTGGTCTTCTTCTAGATAAGTTGGGCTGAAAGATGCAGATATATACAGCCTAGCTGTAAACACATTGAACAGTTGAATGTGTTCATGTATCATTGCATGGTACTAGACAGGAAGTGACCTAGAAAGGAAGGTAAGGCAGATGGGATTGGGAGTTACGACAAGGGATGTAACTTATAATTGACATGATTTGTTGTTGTTTCAGGTGGATGCTAAGATTTCCTTGGGTCTTGCCGGTGTCATCATTGTACTCTTGTCCGTTGGTGCTTCCCTCGGCTTCTACAGCTACTTGGGCATCCCTTCCACACTGATCATCATCGAAGTGGTGCCCTTCCTTGTTTTAGCTGTTGGAGTGGACAACATCTTTATCCTAGTTCAGAAATATCAGGTATGGATGGAGGTGGATTCCTGCAGGTCCATAGTTTGAGTCATAATTATCACTATTACGTCTGGCTCTGTTGCTAAGAGGCTAAGGAATGCAGTTAACAGTTTCATAATCCTCAAGTACTAGGGTTTGATTTTTGTGGTGGATGGGGGCAGAAACTATACTTGCAGCTTTTGAAAGAGATTAGGGCCTCACCAGGTACTATTTCCAAAGATGGCATGGGTGCACTGTAGCCTACCTTCACTGTGAAGATGGCACTTCTTAAAAAACAGTACCATTTATTATGCAAGTTGCTCAGGTTACTTCCCTGTGTGGGTTCCGGGGCCCCATTGTGGGGGAGGGGGGGGGGGGGGAGAACACAAGAATAGACCCACTGCCTCCCCAACCAGCCTGTCGTAAGAGTTGACTAATTGGGGCTTTCCTTCAAAGTCGAAATGCATCTGCCTGAGAGGCAAGGAACCAACAGTCTGCATACAAATAAGTCGGATATGTAAAAGGGATGTGCACACAAAACTCAGGTTCTGGAACATGTCTAAAGGGCAGTGGTGGATGAACAACCAGAACTTTGTCCACTGCGCAGTCAATAGGAGGCTCGCTTTCAAATCCAGCCGCAACTCACTGCAGCCCAGGGCCGGTGTTCGAAACCGAGCGGTTTCCCGAGGTTCACCCAGCCTCTCTGTATTGGGTACCAGAGTTAACACTCTGGGGTAAATGGAGGAAGGTCACTGTAGCTACGAAGTTGCGACACAGGCGGACAGTTTCTTATCATCTGTTTGTATTGGTGGCAGAGCACTTATGGTTTATAACCGTGTGCAATGACGCTGGTTCACATCTCCCAACTTTACCTTTTATCTTTTAGTTTACATCCGGTTGAATACGAAGAAGAAGGAAGACAAGTTAGTGTTGCACTGTTTTACCACGGCTATATGACTTACTTCATCCAGTTTCACTAATGTTGGATGTGTTGGCCTAAAAGGACAGATATCTTTTTAAGTTAAACACAGAGGAAGGAAGATTCATTACAGTTGTCACTGGCATTTTTTGAAAATTGCTTATTGGAAAAATTGTTAGTTTCTAAGTTGATAATAATGTTAAAAATTGTCTTTGTCTTTTTCATCTCCTAATCTAGTTATCCATTTGAAGTGTTGGTAGGATGGGGGTGGAGGGGATGTAAGGATCTTTTTATGTTCTTTCTAATGTGTTGATCTTTGTTTCTTTAAGAAGGCAGTTCTTTAAGGTCATTGTTCCATCTTTGGTGGTTTTCCTCTATCTGTATTAGGCTAAAAGATGCAAATAAATGCAGGTAAAGTAAAGGTAAAGTCGGGAGATGTGACCCAACGTCATTGCACACGGTTATAAACCATAAGTGCTCTGCCACCAGTATGGACAGCTGATAAGAATTGTTCGCCAGTGTCGCTGTTCGCACGTAACTCTGTAGCTACAGCGATGTTTCTCCATTAAGCCCAGAATATCAACTCTGGTACCCATTACCTAGAGGCTGGGTGAACCCCGGGAGCCACCCGGTTTCGAACACCGACCGTGGCTGCAGCGAGTCGCAGCTGGATTTGAAAGCGGGCCTCTTATCGACTGCGCTAACGCTGCCCCAAAATATATGCAGCCTAGCTATAATCCACAACACAGCCTGCTTACTGTATCTTAGGGTAAACACAGAAGAGGGAGAAGAAGAAAATAGAAAATAATTATCATTATCTCAATGGTGCTGTTTTGTTGTTACAGAGGGAAGTTCTGCAAGATGGTGAGACAGTGGAGCACATGATTGGTCGTGTGGTTGGAAAGGTTGGGCCCAGCATGCTGCTGACAAGTCTGTCTGAATCCCTGGCTTTCTTTCTTGGTAAGTTACTCTTTCCTTTAGAGAGTTTGGAAACAAAACACTAGCAGTTGTACTTTTGGTGCAGTCCCAGGGAGTGTTCAGCACTCAGCTATAGTGGTTGCTTACCCAGACAGTCACCACATGGTGTTCACATCTAGAATTATTGCATTTGATTGGTGAATCCCTCAGATCAGTGTTCTTCAACCTTTTTTACACCCGCAGAACGGGACATTGTTTCGCGGACCACCTGGCAGCTAAAAGAAAATGTAGACAGTCCTTTATTTGTACAAAAACGAATCTCATAAAGTTTTCGGCTCACACGTCTGCTCCCTTTTAGAGGTTAGAGACCTATGCAGCAGTATACTGCTAAAATCACGTAGCCACCACATGGTTAGGCAGACATTTTTGGGGAATTGCAAATGGACTACCGTTTTAAAGAACACTGCTTTAGATGATTGTTTTAAGCTTTATAAAAGTCCAGTGCTTTGATATTTAGGTCATTTGAGTGAAGAAAGAAGCTTGTGTCTTTGACACCGTAGTTCCCCACCAGGCTCCTACCTGAAGGTTTGACACTGTTGTTCGTCTTCAGACTGCACTGAAAGTTTGACACTGTTGTTCCTCTTCAGACTGCACTGAAGGTTTGACACTGTTGTTCCTCTTCAGACTGCCCTGAAGGTGTGACACTGTTGTTCCTCTTCAGACTGCACTGAAGGTTTGACACTGTTGTTCCCTTTCAGACTGCACTGAAAGTTTGACACTGTTGTTCCTCTTCAGACTGCACTGAAGGTTTGACACTGTTGTTCCCTTTCAGACTGCACTGAAAGTTTGACACTGTTGTTCCTCTTCAGACTGCACTGAAGGTTTGACATTGTTCCCCTTCAAACTGCACTGAAGGTTTGACACTGTTGTTCCTCTTCAGACTGCACTGAAGGTTTGACACTGTTGTTCCTCTTCAGACTGTACTGAAAGTTTGACACTGTTGTTCCTCTTCAGACTGCACTGAAGGTTTGACACTGTTCCCCTTCAGACTGCACTGAAGGTTTGACACTGTTGTTCCTCTTCAGACTGCACTGAAGGTTTGACACTGTTGTTCCCTTTCAGACTGCACTGAAAGTTTGACACTGTTGTTCCTCTTCAGACTGCACTGAAGGTTTGACACTGTTGTTCCTCTTCAGACTGCACTTAAAGTTTGACACTGTTGTTCCTCTTCAGACTGCACTGAAGGTTTGACACTGTTGTTCCTCTTCAGACTGCACTGAAGGTTTGACACTGTTGTTCCCTTTCAGACTGCACTGAAAGTTTGACACTGTTGGTCCTCTTCAGACTGCACTGAAGGTTTGACACTGTTGTTCCCTTTCAGACTGCACTGAAAGTTTGACACTGTTGTTCCTCTTCAGACTGCACTGAAGGTTTGACACTGTTCCCCTTCAAACTGCACTGAAGGTTTGACACTGTTCCCCTTCAGTCTGCACTGAAGGTTTGACACTGTTGTTCCCCTTCAAACTGCACTGAAGGTTTGACACTGTTCCCCTTCAAACTGCACTGAAGGTTTGACACTGTTCCCCTTCAGTCTGCACTGAAGGTTTGACACCCCTGTAACTAAAAGAGTAGGACCCTAGATGCCAGTTCAATAAGATAAATCCCAGAAACCCCATTCAGCCTCCAAGGAAATTGTAATTAACTCTACAGCTGCTATCAGGTACTTTCATGCTGAATCTCGCTGTCTCGTGAGGGGTAAGTGTTGGAGCTCTCAATTCACAGCAGGAGGGACAAAGACATACAGGGTATGCACATAGCAGAAGTCTTGCTTGCCCTGACACCATTTTATTGAACCCACTGTTGCGTAGTGCATGGACACTTACTTGCTGGCCCAAAGGTCTTAAGTTCAGATCTGCGTTGTGTTCAGATCTGCATTGTGTCACTTTTTTTTTAAATTTGGACTTAGCTCCTAGGTTGACCTAGTATAAAATAGATGCCAGGTAAATGTCCTGGGAAGTATAGGTGGTCGGCATAGTTTTGATGACATCACTTTTTACTGTTATCATATTATAAGGATGACCGGGAAAAAAGTATCAGTGTTAACTCGATGTAATTCATTTCTAGGTGCCCTGACACAGATGCCTGCCGTGAAAGTATTCTCTCTCTATGCAGCCATGGCAGTGTTGATTGACTTCCTCCTCCAGATATCCATCTTTGTTTCTCTGTTGACGTTGGATGCTAAACGACAGGAGGTGCGTATTCTTTCTACATAGTTAGAGGTGCAGAGGCATGGGTAGGAGTGGTGGCATCTTTCAGTTTTTTAAGATGATAGTGTTATATTGTGCTGTATGGAGGCATGGGAAACCCAGCCCAATGATGGCGAGCTATAGCACAAAAGCCTGGGAAGTATTGTGGAGAAAATGTGTCGGCCATGCATGATGATCCTTCTCTCTGCCTGCCTTGTTTACTGCAGAGAACAAGTATAACCACTATATTTGGAACAGGTGTGGATGGTGTGTGAGAACCTGCCTTTGCTTACCGCTACGGTGTATGGACTCCCTGTGTGGGTTCTGGCGACCCCATTGTATAGAACGAAAAGATTAGACTTGCTGCTTCCCCCTGATAGGCACATCATAAAAGTCGACTAATTAGGGGTGTAACTTTTGAAGTCAGAGTTATCTGCTCGAGAGGCGAGGAACCAACAGTCTGCATAGAAATAAACCAGATCTCTAAAACAGGTCTGTATGCAAAACTGGACTTCTGGAACAAGACTAAAGTCCAGAAGTGGACAAACAACTAGCACTTTCTGCTGGAGCAGCTGGTGAATGCAAAGAAAAAGTATGTGGAAGTGGACAGCTTAAATGTGTGTCTTTTATTCTGTGTGTATGTGTGTCTGTTTTACCTTGTGTCTGTGTGCCTGTGTATTTCTTTGTGTTTGTATGTGCGCATACACACTTCATATGGAAGTGGAAGGCTTAAATGTGTCTCTTTTATTCTGTGTGTCTGTTTTACCTTGTGCCTGTGTATTTCTTTGTGTTTGTATGTGCGCATACACACTTTATGTGGAAGTGGAAGGCTTAAATGTGTCTCTTTCATTCTGTGTGTGTGTTTTACCTTGTGTCTGTGTGCCTGTGTATTTCTTTGTGTGTGTAAATGTGCATACACACTTCACATCTATGCAGTGCTTACATAATTTCTCTACATATGTGCTGACTTGTATTCTCTGTTGTTTATTCCTCTATGATGATAATGTATATATTTCTGTAATTCTATACTCATGTATTTTGTATCCTGTTACATGAAAATACTCCCGGTGTATTTGAATTGTTATCCTGTTCTGATGTTGCAGGCAAACAGGGTTGATGTGACGTGCTGTGTGCAGCCGTCACTCGGGAAACGACAGCCACAGAAAGGCTTGCTCTACAAATTCATCAGTGACCACTACTCACATTTTCTCATGAAGGAGTGGGTCAGACCTACTGTGGTGAGTGTTATCTATGTCATGAAGGAGTGGGTCAGACCTACTGTGGTGAGTGTTATCTATGTCATGAAGGACTGGGTCAGACCTACTGTGGTGAGTGTTATCTATGTCATGAAGGAGTGGGTCAGACCTACTGTGGTGAGTGTTATCTATGTCATGAAGGAGTGGGTCAGACCTACTGTGGTGAGTGTTATCTATGTCATGAAGGACTGGGTCAGACCTACTGTGGTGGGTGTTATCTATGTCATGAAGGAGTGGGTCAGACCTACTGTGGTGAGTGTTATCTATGTCATGAAGGAGTGGGTCAGACCTACTGTGGTGAGTGTTATCTATGTCATGAAGGACTGGGTCAGACCTACTGTGGTGAGTGTTATCTATGTCATGAAGGAGTGGGTCAGACCTACTGTGGTGGGTGTTATCTATGTCATGAAGGAGTGGGTCAGACCTACTGTGGTGAGTGTTATCTATGTCATGAAGGAGTGGGTCAGACCTACTGTGGTGAGTGTTATCTATGTCATGAAGGAGTGGGTCAGACCTACTGTGGTGAGTGTTATCTATGTCTTGAAGGAGTGGGTCAGACCTACTGTGGTGAGTGTTATCTATGTCTTCACCTTCAGCAGCGTCGTTGTCATCATCATCATCTTTTTTCTTGTCAATTTCTCAGCATCAACATGATCAGGGTTTTGTTTCTACAAGAGGGCTTTAAACCTGAAAAGTTTGATAAAAATTACAGTGACCATGCCATTGTCTTGTTAGTTGTGTATCCTTTACAGGACAATGCAGAACCAACCTCAGCATTTTTTTTTATCAGTTGTGGTTTTTTTTGGGGCAAATTTTATGTTCAGTAGTTTGCCATTGCTTTTAAACAGTCAGCTCTTGGTGCCACTGTCGAAACCAATGTAAGACAAATTGTCTGCAGCTGGGATTAAACCTGGCATCCCCGGCATTACGAAGCACTGTCGCAACGCCTAAGCCGCAGACACCGACCATTGTCTTGTAACCTGTCATCATGGTTGTTAATAATGTCAAGAACGTTGAGCACATGACATCATGTCATATTTTTTAGGGTTTCCTTTGAAGCCCCTTCGTGAAAGCAAAAAAACACCAATAGGATTTTTTTTTTTTTAAAGTTGTGTATATCCTTTACAGGATGTTGCAAACCAACTCCAGTATTGTTTGGCCGCTTTGTGGTTTTGCTAGGCATTTTTACATTCATGTAGTTTTCCACTGCCTTCAGAACGGTCAAGACCTTTGATTAAATTAGTATTGTATGTTTATTATTATTATGTACACGTAATAAAATGTTCAGTTTCAACAACTTGAAGTTTAAATTTAATTTTTTGAAACGTTCAATCCAAAAGTTGTTTTTGTAGATAGACTTGATCCCCAAAAAAGGTTAAATTAATTTACAAAAAAAAAAGAATTTGATTTTCAGAAGCCTAATTTGCTATGAAAAATGGTGAATTTGATATTTTAATCCTGTAAAAAGATTTGCTAATCTTCTAAAAAAGGTTTCCCATGAAACAAGCCTGGGGCTTTTAGAGCCCAACGGAAACAACTTGCCCACTTCACTTGGAGACCCCCCAAACGTAGGATGCAGTCAATGGGAAGGGGGTTGAGAGTGGTCTGTTGTGGCAAGGTTTTGATACATCTTTCAGTGAGGAGATGGCACCACATTGATGGTTGTACGGTTAACGATTGATCATATTTGTATATGAAGATACATATGTCTACAGATGGTGTTGTTTGTGGGTTGGTTCTGTGCTTGTGGTGCCCTGACGTCTAGGCTCAGCATTGGGCTGGACCAGTCTCTGGCTATGCCAAAGGTATGATACAACTGTTGTTACATAATGTTCATGCTAAAACAAGTTATTCTTCTTTTTCCCAGAGATGGAGCACACGCCTTCAGTCAGCTCACACCAATTCTTCACTCTCTCACATCATCCTGTGTCCTCCTTATATTATGTGCTTCCATCTCTTATTCTTTTCTCACTATATTTTGTGGTCTCCCTTTATTTTTCTGGGTATGTGGGTTCCCGTTCGAGAACATACTAGTTAAACTGTTATGAGGTTTTCTACTTGAATGCCCCATTCAGTGCTGGTGTTTTTTTCTGCACCTCTTGATTGACTGGAATTAGTTTAGTTCTCTCCCAAGGGTCTGCCTCGGTGATTCTGTCATACCATTTAGTTTAATCTGTTCTGTGAGGACACCTGTTAATGAATGTTTGTAGTTGATTAGTACTTGTGTGTCGTTCTCCGTGATTCGTCTCCACACAGCGGCACCAAGTTAATTTTCAAAGGCATTTGAAAAGTAAAAAGTAAAAGACCCTTTTCATACATTAGGCATTTATAGCTTGATTTACATTTCTGTTGACCAGCTGGTGCATGATGGGTGAAGTGATCAACATCATGGCAGTCACTTTTACTTCCCAGGATATTGTCTGGTAGCCGTTTAAGCTGAGTCGACCTTGGAGGCAAGGCCAGTTTATTTTAAATAAATTGATGCAGACTTAAACCTAAGACCCTCGGGCTGGCAGGGGAGCATCTAACCACACCACCACAAAGACATCATTGCATCATACCATATACTGCCATCTGTTCTGTGTAAAGATTAGTTAATAAATTGTTCTAGTTTATTAGTAATTCTTCTTCTTTGATTAGCTTGTAATCGATTATCTGTATCCACAATGTTGTCTCTTGAACGATCTTCACTGTCTGTTGTAACTCACTCAAGGACCCATAAAATTTGATTTGTATACAGTTTCATAGTTCCGGCACAGCACTGCCTTTGTGACCCAGAGGATGGAGTTCAAAACCTAAAATGTGATGAGTAGAGACACCCGAACGATGACCATCAGCATATTCACAATATCATCATCATCAAGTGCCTTGCCAGCTGGCGTAGGCGTTCATGCATCTCCACAGATCTCGGTCTTTGGTGTTCTGGATCAGTTGCACTGAAGATATTCCTCCAAGTGAATGTCTTTAGCCATGTACCATTATTTCTCTTGGTCTCCCTGCCTCTTCTACCAGTGATCTTTCCAGTCGTCTCAGTGTTCTCGTCCTCCTTTTCTTATCACATGACCAAAGAACTTTCTTTGTCTCCTTCTGATTGTTGCATATAATATTCTACTTTCATTTGCCATTTCCAGGCAGTCATTGTTAGTTATCTGGCAGTCCACGGTATTTGCAACATTCTTCTCAAGAACCACATCTCAGTTGCCTCCAAACTCTTCTTAATTTGTTTGCTCACATTTCAAGATTCATTGCCATGCAACAGAACAGGCTTGATATAACATTTCAGTACTCTTTTCTGATGTTTAATGAGAGTAATTTATTACATAAGAAACTTTTCATCTTCTGAAATGCTGCCTTTATTTTGGCAATTATGCTCTTAATTTCTGTTACACATTGTCTATGTGTTCCCTTCTATTGCTATATCACATTTTCGAGTTATCAATATGGTGTATGAAAACAGTCTATTTAATTGGGTAGTTAGTTCACATTGCAGAAGATAGAATGATGGCCTCTAATGAAATAAAGATACACCCATGCAACACATTAGAAAGAGAGCATACAGAAGTTCCTTACATAACTTGGGTCACCTTGCAAAATGTGGAATGACTGTCTCTAGGACAGAGCACCTGTGCAACACATTAGTAAGAGCACACAGAAGATTTTTACACCTGCCCCCCAACACTGATGAGGTAACTGGAGAAAGGGAAGAACAAAATACCTTCCCCCAAACACTTTGATGAGGTAACTGGAGAAAGAGAAGAACAAGATACCTTCCCCAGTCACTTTGATGTAATAACTGGAGAAGGGAAGAACAAAATACCTTCCTTCAACACTTTGATGAGCTAACTGGAGAAAGAGAAGAACAAAATACCTTCCCCCAAACACTTTGATGTGGTAACTGGAGAAGGGAAGAACACAATAGCTTCCCCTAACACTTTGATGAGGTAAATGGAGAAAGAGAAGAAGAACAAAATACCTCCCTTTAACACTTTGATGAGGTAACTGGAGAAAGAGGAGGAGAACAAATTGGGTTCATCTTGCTTTTTTGTATCATTTTGACAGGATTCCTACGTTTTGAACTATTTTCACAACCTCTCAAAGTATTTATCTGTTGGACCGCCAGTCTACTTTGTTGTGGAAAACGGCCACGACTACTCAACCTACGCCGGCCAGAATGAGATTTGTGGGGTCAGCGGCTGTCCACAGAACTCCCTTGTTCAGCAGATTAATACAGCTTCCAGGTCATCATCCGCGTAAGTAGAGTGTTTCTTTTCTTCTTTCTTTCTTGCTTTCTTTCTTTCTTTGATTCTTTCTTTCTTTCGTTCCTTCTGTTGTTCTTTCTTTCGTTTTGTTGTTCTACTATTTTGTCTTGAAATATTGAACAGAGGAGGTAAATATAGTTCTATGAATATTGCAAATTGTATAGTTTTATCTAATGTCAAATTTAACTTGTTTAATTAACCCTTGGAGAAAAAGCAAGAACTCTGGAATTCCTAACAAAAACAAAACATAAAAAAAAAAACTTGTGGGGGGGGGGGGGGGTAGATTAACCAATTTGTTAACTGACAGTTTTAAATTATATAAATATGGGGAGTAATTTTTTTTTTTTACACGTGAACGGACCTGAGAATTAATTGAATATATTCTCTTAGTCCTAATAAAATATATACATTGACCATTAGAGCAACACTTTAGAGTTAATCATCATCATTTGTGTGCTGTCAGACGTCTCATATTTTATTCCTCCACTCCGCTCTGTTGCATACAACATTCTCGATTCCTGACATGGAGTTCAGCCCAGCAATTGTTTGCTTCTCTTAATATTGTTCTTTTTAATGTCTCCCTTAGTCCTCTTTTTATCAGACCCTTTATTTCCTATTTCAATGCCTGTTTTTTAATTCTTTTCTCATTTGGTCTCAGAGTGTGCTCAATGTATCTCCATCTTCTTTATCTTATATTTGTCCAGATATTTCTCTGATCTCCTCACTCTTTTTGAATTGGCCCCATTATATGTTCATGATTTGTCTCAGATATTTACTTTCAAATGTGTTTAACTTTCATTCCATATCTTTGGTGGCTTTCCAACTTTTGATGGATGTTAGAATTGCTTATTCGTAGTTTGGTCTTAAAACTGTATAACTCCATATTGTGTTAAGGCTTTTAAAAACTGTTGTTGCTTTGCCAATGAGTATCCTAATTTCTTTTGTATCTCCTCCTTGTGAGTAAAAATTGCTACCCAATAAGGTGAAATGGTCTGTTACATTTATTGGTTTGTTCTCTAGCACGACATCTACATGATCTGTTGTTGGTATCTTGAATATATTTGTTTTCTCATAACTTATTTGTAGTCCTAACTTCAGAGTTGTTCCAGAATTTAGTGAAGCATACAATTTGAATTCTTTCAACTTAAACACTCAGATCACATTGTTTAAAATTTCACTGTACATCCCACTAATGGGAATCCAAGATTAACCATATGATTGTCACAGAAGCCTCAGTTTAATCACATAACCCTTTTGTTTATACAAGAAGAGATTTGTTTACACACCATGCGGGAATTTTTGGGTAGTGTAGAAAGACAACACAGCTGACAAAATACAGCAAAAATTTTAGACATAAATCTTTCCATGTATCGTTTGTGTCCACAGTATTTAAATTCATACCTGGGAAAATATTTTTTTTAGTTAAATTTACATACATTAGTTAGGTTAGGTTTACCTTTGTACCAATCTTCTAATTTTTTTAAATTACAGCACATATATAGCAGAAGCGGTGTCTTCATGGCTGGACGACTACTTCTCTTGGTTGGTCAGTCCCCCTTGTTGTCGGTACAACAATAAGACCGGAGACTTCTGTCCGTCAACTGGTATGTTGTGTAAGGAAAAGAATTTATGTCTTGTTAGAGATATTGTCATGTGAGAGATAAAGTTGAAAAAAAAATCAATCTGACTGGATACATATACAAACCCAAGACTTCCAGCCCAGCAGGTGAGCATCTAGCCACCACGATACCATGGCTCCTTCCAAGACCACTCTGCATTGTTAATATCATCTTAAACAAAAACCATTCATTGTTGTTTTTTCAACAGAAGTGACAGTTTGTTTAACTCATGAATTGTCTGTGACTCCATCTGTGGGTCTGATGAGTCATTGTTGTTCGTTCAACAAAAGTGAACATTTATTTAACTCATGTACTGTTTATGGCACCAAATAAATCATTGTTGTTCGTTCAACAGAAGTGAACATTTATTTAACTCATGTACTGTTTATGGCACCAAATAAATCATTGTTGTTCGTTCAACAGAAGTGAACATTTATTTAACTCATGTACTGTTTATGGCACCATCTACCAGTCTGATAATTATTGTTGTTTAACAGAAGAGAAGGTTTGTTTTAACTCATGTACTGTCTGTGGCACCAAATAAATCATTGTTGTTCATTTAACAGAAATGACCAATTGTTTAACTCATTTATTGCCTGTGGTGCCATCTTAACTCAAGTATTGTCCATGGCGCCATCTACCGGTCAGATAATTATCATTGTTTATTCAACAGAAGTGAACGTTGACTGTTTGGAATGTCCGTTGAACCACACACAGCGAGGCAGACCTGTGGATGACACATTTTATACTTACCTCCCTTGGTTTCTCAAAGACAACCCAGGCCTCACCTGTGGAAAAGGGTAAGTACCTTTTTTTTTTAAAGCTTTTCCTTTTAATAATGTTCACTGGCTGTAAACTCTGGCAGAAATTTTCTGTTCTGAGTCTTCATCCACTTCTAGACTTTGGTCTTGTTCCAGAACTTAAGTTTGGCATGCAAATCCATTTTACAGATCTGGCTTATTTGTATGCAGACTGTTGTCTCAGGCAGATGCATTTCACTCCGACTTTCAAAGAGATGTCCCTAATTAGTCACATTTTATGACATGCTTGTTAAGTTGACAGTGAGTCTGTTCGGTTTTTTCACTTTTTTCACCCCATCTCAGGAGCTGTAGGGACATAGATATAGTAGGGAATGCCTAGGGAATTCCCCGCAATGGCCTACATTACAGGGGAGTTAGGGTTAGTTCCCTCTTCTTGTTCTTCTTCTTTTATTCACCCAAAAGCATCATCCTGTAGCAGTTCCTTTGCATAACATTGCTCTCATCATGGTCTGCCTGAGAGAAACTCGGTCTTTCGCTAACTTTCCTGCCTCATGTACTGTCATACTCAAGGAGTCACTTATATCCTGTGCCCATCTTCGTATTGGTCGGCCCCTGCTTCTCCTTCCTGGTACCATGCCTTCTGATAGAATTTTTTTTTACCTATTTGCCATGGCGCTCGATATGACCAAAATATTTCAGCTTCTGAGACAAGGTGCTGTTTATTAGCCAATCTTCCTTGATTTTTAGATCTTTTAAATTACAGTATTTCTTCTCTTCTCTGTCCATGGTATTCTGAGAATCTTTCTATAGCATTTCGGCTCAAAAGAAATAGATCATCTATGTCTGCAATGTAGTCTGTAATATGAACTTCACTGTCTTGTGTAGTTCAGTCAGCGACTCGTAAAGTTCAGCTTGAATCAATGTTTCTCTTGGCCAGAACTTAGGCAGTGGGATAGGAATTGGGGATATCCTAAGGTGGTGGTGGGAGAGGGGCCTGAAAAGGACCGACCGTCTCCATTTACTCTAACTGGTGGGTTAGAATTAGGGTTAGATGTAGAAATGCTGACAGGTCAAGATAATTCATGGTGAAGGCGAACTAATAACACCTTCCAAACAAGGCACAGTGTGGTGGTTACAAACGAACAAAAATAACTCACACTGGAAATGCTGACGCAGTAAATATGAAAAATTGAAAACAACCAACACATGACACCCCTAGCAGGGTTCGTAGTGGACCGAGAATTCGGGAAATTACCGGGATTTTTTTCGTTGACCTTGAACCATGATTTTTAGCTTATAAAAGACATTCCGACCTTGAAAAGCCGTGAATTTTGACCGCGGCAATGAAATCGTCAGAAATCCTGTGTAGCACAGGCAATTTTGGGGGAGCCATTTGGCTAGTTTTTGGCTACTTTCGTTGTATTGTCGTTTCAGGTGTGAGGGCAGCTGATTATTGGCTATTTTCAGCCGAAATGGCTTGTTAAAGGCCAGGGGAGGGCGGGCTGTGTTGCAGATCATGAATACATGCAGACAGCAGCGGTGTGGCATGGGGCGGGAAGTAGCAGATTCCGTCTGGAGCGTGTGTGTGTGCCTTTGTTTCTAGCAAGTCAGGCAGAATGAACAGTATAAATCGTTTATGGCCGTGGTTTCTAGAAAGGATTACATTGGGAGATGGTGGGGCTCGGTTCAGTTGTATTTATAAATAGAGTCGCCGTGTTGGGGACTAAGCACGGCCTTCTCTATTAATTAGAGATGGCATTGGGGCTAAGCAAAGTGACTGCAGCTGGATTTCCCAGTTCTATTTTTGGCCTGAATTTATCTTTACAGTGTGTTTGGCGATCAGTATTGTAATTCCCCGAGATTCCCGATTTGTTGTCTCACCCCTCTCTCTCTCTCTTCCCTCCCTCTTTCACTCTTCTACCTATTGCTCCTTCCTTCCCGTCTCCTGCATTGTCTCTAACCCTCCCTTCTGATCTTCATCTTCTTCTCTTTCTCTCTATCTTTCCTTTTACTCTCTCATTTCCTGTCCCCCCCTCCCCCCTTTTTCCTATTTTATTTCTTGTTTAAATGTTTAGTAAATGTGCAGCTCCATAACTCTTCCTAGCAACTCAAGTACACAGGAAGTTGTATTGGGGGCATTCTGTGTGAACATGGTGGATATTTTCTTTTGATGTGTTTGTTTTCCTAGCGGCCTTAATCTCTATCCATCTCCCTACCTGCCCCCTCACATTTTGTCCTACCTGTTCCTCACTATCTGCCTGTCTGTGTCACTGCTTTTCTCTCTCTCTTTCTCTTTGTATTTGCCCTCTCCCTCCCCCCCCCCCCCCCCCCCCCACTCTCTCTTTCTCCATACCTTCAGTTGGCGTAGAAGGTTATGTGTTGCCTAGTGCAGAACATTTCATGTCCACCATTCCCCCCTCCCACACATTAAATATATGTGTACTTTTAAAAACACATTTGCCGTCACCCACCCCCCCCCCCCTTTTCTCCTCCCACATTGATGACACCTAGGGGAGGGAGTGCACCCCTTCCTGCTACCTTCTTCCCTCTATATCTCATCTTATTTCTTACTCCCTTCTTTCTCTCCCTGTCTCATTCCCACTTTATTTTCTTTAACTTTATTCTCTCACCTCCTCTGTCTCACCCTTACCCCCTCAGCCTTCTACACCACTTTCCACCACCTCCTCTCTCCCCTCCTTTCTGTAATTGGAAAACCAGAAATAAAACGAAGTCCACTGCTGCCCTGACCTATTTATGTGTGTGGGTAAACTTCTCTATTTTCCACCAGTGGTGGGTTGGGATCCCCTGGACTTTTTTCTTCTTCATAAAATGACCTTGGCTCTCAGGTCACTAGCCTTAAGTGTAAGAAATTGAATTATTGTTGTCACACACAGATAGGACAAGCAAGGGGCAGTAGGGGTTAGCACTGTTGTTTTTGGACCACGGCCACATTCACATTGGGAGAGGGTAGGAACCGGAAAAGTGGCCTCACTTAGAGATTTCCTAATTCTATTTTTGGCACTCATTGTTCTTACACCCCCCCCCCCCCACAACCGTGTCTTACCTCTCTTCTCTCACCCCTTCTCTTTCCTTTGATCTTCTATTCTCCTTTCTCTCTCCATTCTTCCTCTCTTCCTTTCCTTGCCCTTTCTCCTGTCCCATCTCTTCTTTGTCTCCTCTCCATCCTGTCTTTTCATTTTCTCTAGATTTCCTTACCCACTCCCCTCTCTCATTCTGTCCACTACACTTGAAGTTGTGGGGGGGGGGGGGGGGGGGGGGGGGGGGGGGGGGGGTAGGTGGCTGTTTTTTTTCTTTGATGTATCTTGTCTCCCTTCCTACCCCTCTCTCTTAATCTGTGTTTGTCACTGCCTTCCTTACCCACCTCTCTCTCTCTCTCTCTCTCTCTCTCTCTCTTGCTTTATGTCTGTTTGCCTCCCTTCATCACTTCCTCTTTGTATACCTCCCTCCCATTCTCCTTCTCTGCCTTTTTTCTCTTTCTTTGGTTCTCTCCCCCTGTCTGCTTGCCTCTCTGTGCTATCCCTTTGTCTCTCTCTCCTTTATGTCTACATCTCTTTCTGCTTGCATCTGCTTCTCACCCTGTGCGTTCTCTCTCCCGCTGTCTCCCTTCTTTCAACTCTTTGTCATATTTTCCTCCTTCCATATCTCTGTTTCGTTTCCTTTTTCCTTCTCTTTTCATCTGCCCACCTCTGTATCTGCATTCCCTCTTTCTGTATTTGTCTCCCTCTCTGTCTTTCGCTGTCCCTTCCCCACTTTTCCTCATCATGTCTCCATCCCTCCCTCTCATTTTTTCCTCCTTCCCCAGACTTCTTTTCCTTCTTTTCTCTACCTTCATCTAACCATCTTTACACTGTCTCTCCCAGCCTACCTCAGAATGTGTCTCTCTTCATGACTCTCTCTCTCTCTCCCCTAACCCTCTCAGGTACCAGGTCCAGAACAGACAGGACTTCAGTTTGCTGCCCTCTACCACCAAGCCCTAAAAAAAATTTCAAACACTATATCAAGCTCAGGGGCCGACCAACACGAAGATGGGCACAGGATATAAGTGACTCCTTGAGTATAAAAAAGTACATGAGGCGGGAGAGCTGGTGAGAGACCGAGGTTTTTTTGTCAGGACAAAGGAAATGCTACATGATGATGATATCTGTGCTGGTATGCCAACACATGTGGCACAAATGAAGTACCTTGTGTGCTCAGTACACCCTTGAACAAGGCAAAAATCTTGTTTCAGTATTACACCGAGACAACCTTGAAAAAAACTAAGGAGACCTTGAAAAAGACCTTGAAAAGCCTTGAAATTGATTGGTAAATTTGGCTATGAACCCTGCTCTAGAATTTTGGAGTTTGTGTGGTTTAGGGTAGTGTTGAATGAACACCCACTAACTCTAATCCTAACCCCCCTAAAATAGAGGACTGTCCATGGAATTCCTTAGGAATTCTCTACAAAATCTTGGATCCCTAGAGATGGGGTGCACCATCGGAGACCCACACAGGGTTTAATTGTTTCAGTACCATGCAACTAACCATAAATTTATTGATAACTTCATGGGTTGTATACATTGGCTAACTTAATCTGTCTCATTCATCTGTTTCATTCTCCTGCTCCGTTCTTCTGTCCCATGCTTCCGTCTCAGTCTTCTATATCATTCTTCTGTCTCGTTCTTCTGCCCCACTTGAACACTTATTTTCTCACTGCATTTGGCATTGTTTTGTTGATAATTATGTTTTAATTCTTGTAAATGGCTAGTTTTCCCATGGCAGCTATTGTTCTAAACTCTGCCTGGCAGGTTGCCTGGCCATTCACTGGGGACAATACTGGCCTTATCTTAGAAAAAGTGAAAACATAACGTAAAGGCAGAGCATACCATGCACTTAGCGTTGGGAGCTGGTCAAGGAGGGAAGCTCCGACTGGTAGACAAACTAAGCACTGCTCATCTGATCTGGCATCTTCTGTGGCACGCTTGGTTCCAAACATTTTTGGTGTTACCTTTCCTTCAGAGTAAAAAAAAAACAAAGTCAGGCAGAGAAGAGGGTCATGCTGCATGGGCAACACATGGGTTGTCTCTACAAGTAATACTTGCCCAGTCTTTGTGCTGTGGTGAGGAGGAACTTCATCCCTAGCCTTAATTGGTCTGGGGCACTTGCCATGAACATGGGTTGTGATTTCCCTGCCTCCCTGCAACACAGTGAAACCTTTTCTTCTTCTTCTTCTTCTATGTTTCTCCCAAAAAGTAAATGCACTGTGTCTGTTTTACAGAATGACTGCATTATTTGCTCCTTTTGACCGACACATCCGACTTCTGCAGGCATTTGTTGCCCGGTTTAGCCTTCCTGGCAATAGAACGGTGTTGTCTGAGAAGAGTGAAGAGGTCAACCCGTACTTCCATTAATGTTATTTGTGTTTGCTTGCAGGGGTCATGCAGCTTATGGCTCTGGTGTTCAGCTGTACAAGAGCAGTCACAACGAGACCCATGTTGGAGGTGAGTGGATTCTATTCTTGTGTCTGCTGCATCAGTGTCCTTACTGGGTATTTTTCATCTTTTAATGTTTTAAAGCTGGGAGGAACAACTTCCTGGCACTAGGTTGTATCCCCTATGACTGTCTTTCTGCAAAGCTAACAAAAACTACACATCCTCTCTCTATCATATTCTTAAAATTTGTTGATAAAACCAAACCTTCATTGCCTTCCATATTCTCAGCTTTGCTCTACAAAACCACACCGCTGTGCTTCTACTGCTTTTCTATCCTCTAATGGAGCATAGGCCCTTAACCAACTCATGCCAAGTCGTTCTATCCTTTGCCATTACATGAAGCTCTCCCCATGTCCTCCCCTTCTTTCTAACTTCATTCCCCAGCTCTCTTCTCTATGTGTTTTTTGGCCTTCCTTTATTCCTATGCCCCTGTGGGTTCCAATGCAAAGACATTCTGTATTGTCCGACATATTCTCAGAATTGCTTTGCAAAACCACACATCTGTTGTCCACCATATTCTCAGCATTGCTCTACAAAACCACACCTCCATTGTCCACTATATTCTCAGCATTGCTCTACAAAACCACACCTCCATTGTCCACCTTATTCTCATCATTGCTGTACAAAACCACACCCTACTGTCCACCATATTTTGAGCATTATTCTACTACAGAAAAACCAGTACCGCCCCCCCCCCCACCCCCCTCCCCCCCCCCCCCCCCCCCCCCCCCCCCCCCCCCCCCCCCCCCCCCCCCATCCCATTCTGCCTTTCAGCATCAGGTTTTGAAGAGACATCTAGTGCAAGTCTTGGTATGTGCTACGTATATGCTGGTATTCGCAGCCTCAGAGAGTCGATCTATCCACCGCTTATAAGAGTTACATCTTTTAATTAGCTAAAAAATTTCATTTGTAGTTTTTCTTTCATCAGTTTTTATTCCTAGTTTCTTCAGAACCTCTATATTGTTTTTCGTTTTTAATGATATACCACCTTTTCTTTTCTCTACTCCTGAAATGCCTCGTGGCATCAGGGCAGGAAGACATCTCTGGAACGGGCGCTTCTGTTCGCTTCGTATAAAGTACTTTTCAGTGTCTCTGATATTTCTGCAGTCTATATTTTGCGTGCTCAACCACTGTATGTGTATAGCATTGCTCTCTGTGGTGCCCTGTCCGATACCACTACTACTAACTATTCTTTTGTATATATATATATATATATCCGCATCTACAGAACCTCAGTATGATACTAAAAGTGGCTGAGGCCGTAGTAATAAAACTGAACTCATCTGTGTTGTGTAAACAAAAAGATCATGCTTTCAGCATCAATTTGAAGTTATGGTGATCACGTGGCTGATCTTGAATTTCCAGTGGAGAGATGTACAGTAACTTGACAATGTGGATTATGCATTTCAGCACACACACAAAAGAATTAATTTATGTGCTTCATTATATGTTGTTGATTTTATTCTAGTAATGCACCTGATGAGACATGGCAAAATATGCCTGGCAGTAAATTGTGGAGTGTATTGTTTATGTCCACATTATTTAAACTTACAATGGGAAAATGTTTTAAATTTTCTAACATGTTTGTTTTAGTTGAGTACAAACATTTTGTTTATTCCCTGTATCCAGCTTCTTACTTCATGACCTACCACAGTGTTTTGAAAACATCTGAGGATTACATTGCAGCCTTGAAGAATGCTAGGGAAATCTCAGACAACATTACGAGGAGTTTGAATGAGACAGGGCAACACTACAATGTCTTTCCTTACAGGTATGTTCTTACTGGTATGTTAGTCACCTGGGCAGAGAAAGTATTTGTAGTTCTTTTCCAGACAGTCTCTTCTATATTGACAATAGGCAGTTAGGCAGAAAATGTATGTAATGCCATCAGATTATCATTTTCTTCTTCATTGTCTACACTAATGTTATAGTTTTCCTGTAACATTTCAGTTTAGAAACTTTGATTTTGGTCTTTAATCCTGTAGCCCCGGGAACACTAAAAAAGATTAGGTCGTGAACCTGTGGGAATACAGGGCAATATCATTTGAAAATGCGGTGCAAAAAAGCGCACCCCGGTCAACCTCAACTTTGGCTTTTTTTTTTTTAGAGATGGCACCAGATTGATTGACTGATTTGTTCTTGTCTGTGTTTGTTTTGTGTTTGTTATGTTGTTAGTATTTAATGCTTTTTTTTTAAAATTGTATTTCTATCGACAGTGTTTTCTACGTGTTCTATGAGCAGTACCTGGACATTGTCATGAACGCTGTCCTGAACATCACATACTGTCTGGCGGCCATCCTCATCATCACTTTCCTCCTGCTGGGCTTCGACATCTACTCCGCCATTATTGTGGTCCTGACCATTCTCATGATCCTCGTCAGCATAATGGGACTGATGTATCTGTGGGATATTGAGCTGAATGCCTTGTCCCTCGTTAATCTCATTATGGTAAGTTTTTTTTTTTTTTTTAAACACTGCTGCTTTATGTCCTAACACTTTGAGTCCCAGGGGGTTTAGCCTCAGAGTTATTTGTTGGGGAATATGTTTACCAGTTTCATGATCCTCGAGGTTCAGTTTCCACAGCAGACAATTTTTTTTTTTTAAAGTGGTTTACAGACACTCATACGAGAGTCACACCATGGAAGAAATGGGGACTTCACCATATAATATTCCTAAAGACTGTAGATGGTGCAACCAGGTATCCTTCATTGTAGAAACAGCACTGAGTGTTAAAAAGAAAATTTTTTTCCTGTAAAAAAATTCTACTGTAAAATTGGCCCAGTTTGCCTTTGGCATAATTTTATAGGCCAGTACTGCATCACTACCATGCTGACCACCTTTGATTCTCAGGATGTTATTCTGTGTTGGATTGGGCCTGAAAGACATGGTCATTTGATACAACTCCACCTTAATACGGATTTGAGCCTAGGACCTTCTTCTTCAGCATTCCAAGCCCTTGAAGTTCACTGCTGCAAATATCACTTGCCTGAACTCATCTCTCTGGTTAGCCTTCTCTCTCTCTCTCTCTAGTTGGTGACACCAAAGTGTTTGCAGGTCTGCCTGGATATTGTTTCACCATCGTCATCTTGGTCTACCTTGTGGTCTACACAGGAAGTAATTATAACAAGAAAAGAAACCAAGACCTTTTTGTGAAACAATCATTAAAATAATCCACTGATCTTTGAAAAAGAAGCTAATAACAGTGGTGGGGTTGGGGGGCGGGGGTTTACACACACAAGAAAATCTGATGTTTTGGCCCGGACCTTTCTCACCACAGACCACAACATAAACATGGGGCAGAGTATCCTCAATCACCCCTCCCCCCACCTTTTTTTCTTTTCTTTCGTTAAGCTTTGTTGTCACAGTTCAGTGGATTACTTTCTTGGTATTAGCTTGACTGCAGTCACCCCTGTTTTCATCACTTTTAAGTTAAACATTCATTGGGTAATTTAAAAAAAAAAAAAAGAGAAAAACAAAGAGAAAGGCTACGGAAAAACATTGAATGGCTTTATATACTCTTGGACTTCTAGAGTTTAGTTTCTCGCTTGATGATGTACCAGATACATTATATGCAATTAATTAGAACATTTGTTTTCTTGTGTCCTAACAGGCAATTGGTATATCAGTAGAATTCTGCTCTCATATAATCCGTGCATTCACTATCAGCATTAAACCCACACGGAAGGAGAGGGCTAAGGATGCCTTGTCTTACATGGGCAGCTCTGTAAGTTTACTGCCAATATTATTTGTTTTATTCATGTGCATTTGGGAATCTTCTGAGAAGAAAATTCTATAAGGAATGGAAATGGTTGTCCTGTTGTTTAGAAATCATGAAGCCTGAACCGTTGCACTCTGGTGGCAGTATTTGGTTGGGGGGGGGGGGGGGTGCCCATGGTATTCCCTTTTGGGTTCTGGGTCCCTGTTGGAGAGAGGGGGGGGGGGGAGTAGACTCAATATCCTTTCGCAGGCATGTCATAAATACATAAATACTGACCACCTAAGAGTTTGCTGAAATTTGAAGTGTTGGGCTGAAATGATATCACAGCCTAGCAGTAAACAACAGCAGAGCAAATCAGCTGTCCTTTTAAGGGCAGGTGCAGAAGAAGAAGAAGTAGAAGAATCCATGGGATCATATTTGTCAGGTGTGTGTTGATGCCTGTTGGGGCTAGGCATCGTAAAATAATTTCAAATGTGCACCATATTGGGGACTGCATGGTTAAATGGAGATGAGTTTTCAGTCACTTCAGTTGTGACACAGTCCTGTAATTAGTTATATATTGCCATGTCTGCTGTCACCTGTTCTCGAAAAGTGTTGTTAAATTCCATTGGTTCCTTGTGCGTCTGGGCAGTGTTTAATAGGCCAGAATATTAATATAGTAACTAGAATGGCATTTAGGAAGGTTCTTTATAACCTGAATGGCTTTTTTTTAAAAACATGTTATTATTAAATTATCCAGTAAGTCTCAGGGATAGAGGTCACTGGGTCATGGCATGAGTCACCCAATACAGTTTTTTTATTTGGGCCTAGAGGAATGTATTCCATTTATTCTCATGTTTGTTGATTACCCTTTTATATATCTTTATTATTTTGAGATAACAATTTAAAATTATAGATAGATACATAAAAATTGTTTTTTAATTATTATTGACCTGTGTAATATGAATTACACATTTTTGTGTGTGTTTATATTTGCTCATTAGTTCTTTAACTCTTATAGTGACAGATATGCCTCAACGCTTGGAAATATGTTTTTTGTTGTTGAAAATAAACTGACTACTGTGAATTTTGTTTTAGCATGTCAGGTCTACTGATTGAGTTGCCGGGTTGTTTTGATGAAGTTTCCTGTTTCCTGCAGGTACTCAGCGGCATAACTTTCACCAAGATCGCAGGTATAATCATGCTAGCCTTCTCCAAGTCCCAGCTATTTCAAGTTTTTTACTTCCGGATGTACCTGGCCATCGTATTATTCGGTGCGTGCCACGGGCTCATCTTTCTTCCAGTGTTTCTCAGTTATATAGGTAAGTTTAAAAAAATGTCATTTGTCACTAGAATAAGTTTATTTACGTGCTAGTTTGTCACTAAAATAAATTTTTTTTTTCACACCATTTGTCACCAGAATGAGTTTATTTTTATGCCATTTGTCAGTAAAGTAAGTTTTCTTTCACACTATTTGTCACCAGAATAAGTTTATTTGTATGCCAGTTTGTCATTGAAAATCGAGCATGCTCTTCCAAGTGCTCATGTGTTATGTTTATATAATAATATACATAATGAAATAATGCATACACACATACATACTCAGTCATACACACTCAAAAATTCACACGTACATACTTTTACATGCTCATTCATACACAGACACATACATATGTACACACACACATATTTACATATATGCATGCTTACATACATAAACACACATATCCATCCATACCTACATACACACACATACACACACATGCACACACATCCATACATACATGCACATATACACACACACACACATATACACGAAAAAAATAGCAGGAATAATTAATATATGAGATACATGAAACAGGGTCTAGTAATGTGTATAATTTATATGGCAGAGACAAGTAATGTGATGCTTTTTGCATGGATAAGTATTATATTAGGGATAACTATTACACATACTAAATGTAGCAGTAATAATTAGCATGTATGATACATGTAGCAGGGATAAGTATGTGTACGATGCATGCAACAGGGATATGTAATGTGTATAATACATGTAATATTGATAAGTAGTGTGTATGATACAGGTAGCAAGGATGAGTAGTATGTATGATACATGTAACAGGGATAAGTAGTGTTATGATACATGTAGCATTGATAAGTAGTGTTATGATACATGTATCAGGGATAGGTAGCATGTATGATACATACAGCAGGGATAGTTAACAAGCATGATAGATGCATCAGGGATAGGTAGTTTGTTGAGGCATGCAGCAGGGATAAGTAGCATAAAACATGCAGCAGGAATAACTAGCATGTATGATACATGCAGTGAGGATAAGTAGTGTATATGATACATGCAGCAGGGATAAACTGTGTGATACATGCAGCAGGGATAAGTAGTGTGTATGATAGTTGCATCAGGGATAAGTAGTGTGTATGATACATGCAGCAGGGATAAGTAGTGTATATGATACATGCGGCAGGAATAAGTAGTATGTATGAAACATGTAGTGATGGGGATAAGTAATGTGTATGATACATGTAACGGGGATAAGTAGTTTATATGATATATGCCGCAGGGATAAGTAGTGTGTATAATAGTTGCATCAGGGATAAGTAGTGTGTATAATAGTTGCATCAGGGATAAGTAGTGTGTATGAGACATGTAGCGGGGATAAGTAGTTTACATGATATATGCAGCAAGGATAAGTAATGTGAATGTCATGTGCCAATTTTTTTTCTTTCCTGGCCAGGTCCGCCTGTTAACAAAGCTAAGGTCTTTAACAACAAACTCACAGACACAGTCGAAGACACAACAACCAACTCTGAGCAGCACAAACCCAACGGAAACACCCCCCATGTTTACGAGAATCCCCCAGCATACGACACAGTTGGCAGCGAATGACAGAGCTCCAATCAAACATAGTTTAGAGGATCAAGTCTGTGTGTGTATTATAATACATGTGTTATATGGCTGTGTCATTAATTGGTGTGTGAAGGGATCCACATAAGAAGCCAAATATGACTGATCTTCAGGCCCAAGTGGTTTAAAAAAAAAAAAAAATTTTTTAGGCCTAAGTGTCTTTGATCTTAAGGCCTAAGTTATTTTGATCTCCAGGCTATTGTATTGTATCTTTGATTTCCAGGCATAAATGTCTTAGATGTTTAGCCTAAGGGGCTTTGATCTTCAGGCATAAATGTCTTTGACGTTTGGCCTAATGGCTTTGATCTTCAGGCATAAATGTCCTTGATCTCCAGGCCTAAGTTTAGTTTATCTAGTACTGCTGAATAATTTATGAGTGAAAGATCAGGTGAATTTGTGAATTGTGGGACTGCTTGTTTGTCTGGATAGCACAGTATTTATCACACGAGTATCTGTCCTAGTTATCATCATCATCATCATGTAGGACCGTCACAGTGTTGCCTGCAAGCAGAAGTGGAAATGCTTGTTTGTTTGGACATCACAGTATTTATCACACGAGTACCTATTATCATCATAATCAGTTGTAGGACCGTCACGGTGTTGCCTGCAAGCAGAAGTGGAAATGCTTGTTTGTTTGGACATCACAGTATTTATCGCAAGAGTACCTGTCCTAGTTATCATCATCATCATCATCATCATCATCATCTAGCAGGACGTTCACGATGTTGCTTGCAAGAAAGACTCAGTTCTGTCCATTACCCCCATGTTGTCTTTGTTTTGAGTGTGGCTCTGTGGCTTAGAGGTCGGCAAATGTGATTCAGAATTTCATGATTCTCAATTCTAGCTTTCCCAGTTGTATGAGAGTTCCACTGTAGAAGATGACTTTGGTACACTGGAGCCAACCTTCGTTATGGAGATGACACTATATTATTTTTTGTGTGCATGTGTGTTCATATCTTGTAAATTTAGCTTTGGCTGCGGCCTACCCAACATGCACTATTTACCTCTGAATTGCCAAGGAATTTCTTATATTCTGAGATCACAGACCCTCAAAATCTCTTGCCCTTATCCGAACAGGTTAGACGGTTAATTTGCTAGCCAAGAATGTATGGTGTATACAATTTATTGCTTTAAATAAAAAAATTACACTACCCACCCTATGAACCGAACTAAGCCTACATGAGTCAGGCGAATGCCATAACTTCCACTCCACCGTACTCTTGTAAAAGCTTGTAACTTTTTAACGACCCTATTAATGAATATTCAAGATACTGACATATTCTGAAGATAAGTTCCCCAGTTGAGGAGGGGTGTTGCACAATCTGTTAGGCCAAAAGGCCTAGAGGCCGCCTTTACTTCAGATCTAATTTCCTCAAACCCATTTAAGGCTGAATAGACCACAGGGCCCAGTTTAAATTACCAAAGTCGACCTCAGAGTTGTTTCTAACCCATGACCTGTGAGAATCAGTTGATTGGTTGGTTTGTTCCCCCATCCCCTGTTGCCAGCTAAAGGTTTACCATACAGTCCTGAGATTAAATAATTTCAGTTGGGATGGCAGACCAGCTAGGCCGATCCCACATACCTTGTTTAGCCTCCAGAGAGGTTATAATTAGGGCACCCTTAATGGCTGCACCAGTCTGTAAGTCATCTGCAGCCCTATGCAGGTAAGGACAACCTATATATATATATATATATATATATATATATATATATATATATATATATATATATATATATATATATATATATATATATATATATATATATATATATATATATATATATATATATATATATATATATCTATATATATATATATATATATTATATATATATATATATATATATATTGCATATATATATTGTAGAAGCAAACACTTTTATCTTCATCATCATCATCATTTCTCTTTATGCCTTGGGGCACATGAGGCTTCAGAGAGGACTTTCCATGCTTTCCTGTCCTGTGCTAACTTAAATGCAGTTTTCCTTGTCAGAGATGCCGCACTCAAGTCACTTTCCATTGTTCGTCTCCATGTTGTTTTTGGGTGCCCCTTCTCTCTCTTTCCCTTTGGTATCCATGTGAGAGCTGTTTTGGCAGTGATATCAGGATACATTTGCATAATGTCCCATGGTCTTGAGACAGAGTCCCTCTGTCAGCATGTAGGAGGGACAGAGGAAGACTTACAATCACGTCTGCACAAAGCTACTGCTGCTTTTAGAAGGATGAGGCTAATCTGGAGTCCAACTGTTATTATGCTCCCTACAAAACAACATGACAAGAATAATGGCATTTGAGGTATCTATTGGTATATCTCATGTATATGAGTGTTTTTCGTCAGCTGTACAAGTTTCTCATCATTTGTGCCAATTTTTCTTCAACTGTACCAATATTTCATCATTTGTGTCAGATCAACTGTACCAGTGTTCCATCATTTGTGCCAGTTATTTATCAGTCCTGCTAGATTTTCATCAGTGTTTCAGTAACAGTATTTCCGTACCTATGTTAACTCATCTGTGCTGATGTTTCATCAGCTGTACCAGTGTTTCATCAGCTGTACCAGTGTTTCATCAGCTGTACCAGTGTTTTATCAGCTGTACCAGTGTATTATCAGCTGTACCATTGTTTCATCAGCTGTACCAGTGTTTCATCAGCTGTACCAGTGTTTCATCAGCTGTACCAGTGTTTCATCAGCTGTACCAGTGTTTCATCAGCTGTGCCAGTGTTTCATCAGCTGTGCCAGTGTTTCATCAGCTGTACCAGTGTTTCATCAGCTGTGCCAGTGTTTCATCAGCTGTGCCAGTGTTTCATCAGTTGTACCAGTATTTCATCAGCTGTGCCAGTGTTTCATCAGCTGTACCAGTGTTACATCAGCTGTGCCAGTGTTTCATCAGCTGTGCCAGTGTTTCATCAGCTGTACCAGTATTTCATCAGCTGTGCCAGTGTTTCATCAGCTGTACCAGTGTTTCATCAGCTGTGCCAGTGTTTCATCAGCTGTGCCAGTGTTTCATCAGCTGTGCCAGTGTTTCATCAGCTGTACCAGTGTTTCATCAACTGTGCCAGTGTTTCATCAGCTGTGCCAGTGTTTCATCAGCTGTACCAGTGTTTCATCAGCTGTGCCAGTGTTTCATCAGCTGTACCAGTATTTCATCAGCTGTGCCAGTGTTTCATCAGCTGTACCAGTGTTTCATCAGCTGTACCAGTGTTTCATCAGCTGTACCAGTGTTTCGTCAGCTGTGCCAGTGTTTCATCAGCTGTCCCAGTGTTTCATCAGCTGTGCCAGTGTTTCATCAGCTGTGCCAGTGTTTCATTAGCTGTACCAGTATTTCGTCAGCTGTGCCAGTGTTTCGTCAGCTGTACCAGTGTTTCATCAGCTGTACCAGTGTTTCATCAGCTGTACCAGTGTTTGTTTTATCAGCTGTACCAGTGTTTCATCAGCTGTATCAGTGTTTCATCAGCTGTGCCAGTGTTTCATCAGCTATGCCAGTGTTTCCTCAGCTGTACCAGTGTTTCGTCAGCTGTGCCAGTGTTTCATCAGCTGTGCCAGTGTTTCATCAGCTGTGCCAGTGTTTCATCAGCTGTGCCAGTTTTTCTTCAGCTGTGCCAGTTTTTCTTCAGCTGTACCAGTGTTTCATCAGCTCTACCAGTGTTTCGTCAGCTGTACCAGTGTTTCATCAGCTGTGCCAGTGTTTCATCAGCTGTGCCAGTGTTTCATCAGCTGTGCCAGTATTTCGTCAGCTGTGCCAGTGTTTCATCAGCTGTACCAGTGTTTCATCAGCTATGCCAGTGTTTCATCAGCTGTACCAGTGTTTCATCAGCTGTACCAGTGTTTGTTTTATCAGCTGTACCAGTGTTTCATCAGCTATATCAGTGTTTCATCAGCTGTGCCAGTGTTTCATCAGCTGTGCCAGTGTTTCATCAGCTGTACCAGTGTTTGTTTTATCAGCTGTACCAGTGTTTCATCAGCTGTATCAGTGTTTCATCAGCTGTGCCAGTGTTTCATCAGCTGTGCCAGTGTTTCCTCAGCTGTACCAGTGTTTCGTCAGCTGTGCCAGTGTTTCATCAGCTGTGCCAGTGTTTCATCAGCTGTACCAGTGTTTCATCAACTCTGTCAGTATTTCATCAACTGTACCAGTGTTTGTTTTATCAGCTGTACCAGTGTTTCATCAGCTGTGCCAGTGTTTCATCAGCTGTGCCAGTATTTCATCAGCTGTACCAGTGTTTCATCAGCTGTGCCAGTGTTTCATCAGCTGTGCCAGTGTTTCATCAGCTGTACTAGTGTTTCATCGGCTCTGTCAGTATTTCATCAGCTGTACCAGTGTTTCATCAGCTGTACCAGTGTTTGTTTTATCAGCTGTACCAGTGTTTCATCAGCTCTACCGCAGTTTCATAAGTTGCACCTATTTTTCACGAATATTTGTTTTATAAGGTTTGAAATTTATCTGACAGTGTGAAGTTTTGATGGCAGAATAACGAGATCAGTTTTATGAGCGAATGAGGTTAAGTGGACTGAGTGATTGAATGAAAAAGAGAATGAATCTGATGATTTTAGAATAAATAGGGTCAGTGAATGAGATTGAAGGAATCATTTAGTGTGATGTTGTTCTCTCAGTGTGCTCTGGTTGTTTCCTAGGGGATTGTACTGTGGCTGACACACATGATGAATTGACATACACAGATGTTATTGAGGAGACACAATCACAGTTTATATCTTGATTACTCATAGAAGACATTCCGGTCCAGTCATCTTCAGCTACTCTCTAGCTTGTCCAAATATTCAACAGGTAACAGTGACAAAGTTTCTCACCGCTGGTCACAATCATGCCCGTTCGCTCCCTTTGCAATCTTCACGTCTCAATTGTGCCACTTGTATAGGTCTCAAACAAGCATCTCCGGGTCTGGCTGTTCAGCTCCACCAACAGGTTAGTTGTCGACTTGACTGGATTCTGGCTGGGCGGTCATCTTGTCAAATTCAATCTTCTC